CTGCATAGCTGACTTCACTGCAAGGTCAATACATTGTCCCCTTGGAATCTTACCCCTTGGAGTGTGTGCTGAAATTGAATTATTTTCTTGTTCTTTCAAATCTTTTAAACATTTTTGTCAAGATTTTGTATTGTTTGGCTCATTTTTGTAGGTTTATATGAGCAAAAGCCTATTTCCTCGTTCCACTGTGCTCTATGAGTGGTCAGAACTTTAAAGGCCCCGTATTATGATATTTTCTGATCTGTGTTAGAATGTTGTTTCCTCATCACAAACATAGCTGAAGTTTTGATTTGTTTCATTCACACTGACATATTAACACACAAATCCTGCACATTTTGGATTAGTTCTTCCCTCAAACAGAAAACACATTATAATAACACCGGAAGTGCTCCATTGTGTTTTTAAGCTCCATAAACCTTCATTAGAATCATTTGGATGATTTCAGTCCTGTAATTGTCAATCTCTACTGAACTAAAGGTAAAAGGTAGCTTTAGCTGTTGAAAATTTGAAAACTACTACTACATGACATCACAAGGTGGAACAGAGCATTTTGAGCTTTGGAGATTAATAATAAAGGATTATTCAAACATCCATCCATTTTCTTCCGCTTACCCAGGGCCAGGTCGCGGGGACAGCAGTCTAAGCAATGTCTCCTAGACTTCTTTCACCACGGACACTTCCTCGAGCTCCTCGGCGGGGGACCACAAGGCATTCCTAGGCCAGCTGAGAGACATAGTTCCTCCAGCGTGTCCTGGGTCTTCCCTGAGGCCTCTTCCCGGTGGGACATGCCCGGAACACCTCCTGAGGGAGGCATCCACGAGGCATCCAGGAAAGATGCCCCAGCCACTTGAGCTGGCTCCTCTCGACGTGGAGGAGTAGCAGCTCTACTCTAAGCCCTGTCCGTGTGGCTGAGCTCCTCACCCTATCTCTAAGGGAGTGCCCAGCCACCCTGCAAAAGAAACTCATTCCGGTCACTAGTATCCATGATCTTGTTCATAGGTGTTCATGACCATAGGTGATGGTAGAAACTTCGACTAAATTGAGAGCTTTGCCTTTTGGCTCAGCTCCCTCTTCACCACAACAGTTGGATACAGCGACCGCATCACTGCTGACGCTGCACCAATCCACCTGTCAATCTCACGCTCCATCCTCCCCTCACCATGAACAAGATCTGAGCTTGTGCACAGACTTCCCACCCACCTGGAGAGGGCAAGCCACCTTTTTCTGGTCGAAAACCATGGCCTCGGATTTGTATGGAGGAGCTGATTTCCATCCCAGCCACTTCACACTCGGCTGCAAACCACCCCAGTGCATGCTGCAGGTCCTGGTTTGATGAAGCTAACAGGACAACATCATCTGCAGACAACAGAGACGAGATCTGGTGGTCCCCAAACTGGACCCCCTCCGGCCCCTGACTGCACCTAGAAATTCTGTCCATAAATACAATGAACAGACCCGGTGACAAAGGGCAGCCCTGACAGAGTCCAACATTGTTTACTCAAACATTGAAGATGTAACAACATTTTAGCATGACTTAAAGCTCACAAGAGTCAATTTTGTGTAATATAGGACCTTTAAGTAAAACTCTTTGTCATTTTGCAGAGACAAATATAATGCAGAATTCCTTGAGAGCTAACAGAGACGCTGGACCAGTTCCACTATTGCTCTAGACCCACTGTTGTTTACACTTTACGTTCAATAGATTTACAGTTACAAATGTTACATAAGGACTTTTCAAACTTGTAGCATATTTTGTCTCCATCAGCTCATTTTAAGCTTTGTTTGACATAGAAGTATCATTCTATATTTATGTTCCCTCCAAAAGCTCCCAGTCTCCCTGACAACGCAAGTTATAGGTGTCATGTGTCATATGTGCACAGTGGATAATATCTGCACATTCCATTTCACTTATTGCATGTCTCCTTTGTGTTACTGTCAGAATGTTAACATATAGGGTTTAAAGTACTACAGAGAAGGGCTGGATATTCTATTATTATTATTATTATTATTTACAATTCTAATAGTGTAGTGACATTACTGACATATTTGTGGCCACACTGTCTTGTCAAAGCCCAATCTGATCTGATATATAAAAGCTTGGGCCTGGTTAGTACTTGGATGGGAGACTATTGGGGATCCTAGGGGACACAGTGGGTCAGCAGTGTTGTCATTGTGTCCTTAGGCAAAACACTTCCCTCACATTTTATTTGGAGTGCGTGTGTGTGTGTGTGTATATGTGAGTGATTGATGGTGAGGCTGATCGTGTATTTACAAATTTTGCTTCTGTCAGTCTGACCCAGGGCATCTGTGCCTATAATAGTATCTTACCACTGCTGAGTTTGGAGTGAATAATGCACTAAATCGTTAAGTGACTTTGAGTGTCTGGAAAAGCGCTATAACAAGACTAATGCATTTTTATTTGGAAGTCTGACATTCCGCCTAACCTTTAAAGTGGGACTAAACATCTAATCTCCCCTCACAATCACAGAGCAAATAGAGCCGCTGAACTTGGGATGAGGGGAGAGGACGGGGCAGTGTCTGAAGATATAAGGAACACTGTGATTGGTCGAACAGGTATCCACACTTCAAACTCCGCCCCTGCAGCCAGTTTTTGTCATCAGAAACACGAGACTGTAATCAGGGCAGTCCGGCGTGATGTCACATAGTACTTGAAATTGCAGAGGCCACAGGAGGCAGCACACACTCAGGGCTGCAAATTTACCAAGTTTACACTAAAATCAAACCAAAAAAAAAAAAAAAAAAAAAGGACAGTAGACATCAAAAGAAGATATCAAAACCGTTTTAGTACACAGTTGAGTAGCAAAAAACATTTGATTTAATTGTTAGTTCCACCTAAAACAAAATAACTATGAACTACAACGAATGTTTTGTAATTTGTGGAAATAGGTTAAAGGTGCACTGTGTAACTTTTCAGCTGGAGGGCCTGCTACATTCTTGTATTGATGGATTGATGGAGATGTCATTGCTGTTCCTGGAATATTCTACCGTATAGAATTAAACTTGTATATCTCCATGGAGACAAAGAGATTACACAATCAAGTTACACTTCCTCACCATGTTACAGGTCAAACAGAGTGGGAGGGGACCCCATTCCTCTAATTTTATCTGTAATTAATTAGTACACCTATTTGAATAAATGAAAGAGATACGTTTAATGCAGGGGTGTCCAAACTTTTTTCATCAAGGGCCACGTATCTAAACACAGACTAAGCAGGGGGCCGATTGAGGGCCGTAGACTGGTGCTCAATACAGTGAATAATTGAAATATGTGCATGTTTAACATGTTAGAATGAGCCATTAGTCCTTTATTCATGCTAAGATCCTTAAAACCACACACTAAACCACACACTAAATATTAAATTATATAGATTTTCAAAAAACTTCCAGTAAAAAGTTCATTTTTAATTGATGCAAGGTAATTTGGGCCAATTCACCTGGAAGCCTGAGGGCCAAGAAAAATTTGTTTGAGGGCCACATTTGGCCCAGGGGCCATAGTTTGGACATGCCTGGTTTAATGCATACTGTGGAGCATTTCAGGCAAAGCAATTACATCTCTAGGAAGACAAGCAGGCGATGGATCCCGCTTTGGAAAAGTTGCAAAATGCATCTTTAAAATGACATTGTTTACAAGATCACAGGAAGCACTCTAATGTCAAATGTATGTGATTTAATTTAATCTTTTAATGAACCCGCTCATTATGATATTTGACTGAGCATGGTTTAGCCTTTCCAATTCCTGTTCTCTGTTGCCGTGGTGATCAGAGCCATGTTTACTCTCTCCGTTTGACTCCTAATGTAGCATCACGTTAATAGCGTCGGGTCGTGGCTCTGCTCACTGAAGGTCTCCGCTGCAGAACATTGCGCCACACTAATTATTCTCATCTGTGATTGGACCACGGCCTTGTGCTTTGTTGCCAGGAAACAGCCTGTGTCCAGTCATGTGACATTTGTGCCCTTTTATTGTCCACCGTATTCACCAGCTCCATCTATCTCCAACTAATCCATGGACTTTTCCAGATTGTTCCGACACATGGCCTGCTGGATCAAACCCTCCAGTGTGCAGTGTGACTCATGCTAATGCAGTGTCCCCAGTGACTCGGGTGCATTCTTGTACATGTCACAGACAGAGCAGAGACCGAGGCACAACGAGTAAAAGTGGAAAACGACCTCATCTGGCCCACTGTGACGTCAGCGTGTGTCGTTTACTGATACCGCAAGTGCTGTTGTTACTAGGGCCCAACAGATTTTAGTAACCAAACACTCATGTTATGTATTTTTGAGAAAAGATGAGAAACTGTGATTAACTAAAACAACTGTATTAACAAAATAACATTATAATGAAATGACATGATCCTAAACACTGTTAGCACTACAGTACATAAATCATGGCCTGCCTTATTCAGTATTGCCTCAAAGACCAGTATGACTTAGAATGTATGCTAGTATTTATTCTGGATCCCTATTAGTTATTACCACAAAAATTACTATTCTTCCTGGGGTCTATGAGTCTAACATCTGTAGGCCATGATGACCCACTTTTACTGTTATATGATTTTTCTTTTTCTTTTTTTAGCCTACAAAAGATAAAACTATAGTACAGAGATTTAAAAACATCTATAGATAAAAATTAACACAGGCATTCTTCTATTATTATTATTTTTATTTTATTTTTTTAGGTTAATCTAGGCTTGGTGTCTGGATGATAAATCAGCCTGTGAGGATTGTTGGACTTTTGCCCGCACTTAGTAGACCTGCTCTTAATAAGGAATTGATGTGAACTTGATTATGACATAACTCCAGTCCCTCGCATCCTGGCTCCCCTCAGAGCATCCTTTTCTCTCGCCTGAAGCTGGAAAAACTGACACCCATTAAAGCCCTGATGCCGCAGCGGTGACATCACTCCCAGATGAGGGCGCTGCGTCCTGATTGGAGCGCGTCCTCAGCCAACCAGAGCGCGCACGCGTAGGAAGACTTTAAAACATTTCGGAAAAGTGTCGTAAAGTGATCAGAACGAGTGATACGCACGCCACGGTGGACTGTTCAGGACTTTGGAGCGCGTTAGCCCGGTTTGGACTGATAGCTGCCGTAATCTGCCGTTTCCAAGGCCTCCTCCGTCAGCTCAGCTCCTCACTGCACAGACAGAGACCGCAGCAGCATGTCTACACACTTCAGGAGCGGCCCATCCTTCGGCCTGTCCGCGGAGGTCAAGAGCAAGGTACGAGGGGACACTGTGACTGTCAGGAGGAGCACATGTTCACTCTGATGCTCTGTGTGTGTTCTTGGGGACCGAGGACAGTTCATTTGGCTGGTACAGTGTGTGCACCAAAACAAAACAAATGTTTAGATATTTAATTATATCATTTAAATATATTGAAACTTGCACAGAAATGATGATGTAACTAAGCCTGTGGTATTAGACTTGAGAGAGACCGTAAATCCTGAATGAATCCTTTTCCTTTTGGCCCAGATAAAAATATAGACCTTAAATAAATAGCCTAATTGTATTACATAATGGTCTAAGAAAAGAATTTTGGTCTGACAGAATACAGTAGGTATGAAATTTAAAGGGGCATTATGTAACTTTTTGTTCCACAATATTATCTCCATCTCCATGGAGACAAGCAGGTGATGCTACCAGGCCAAGTCAGATCTGTGGAGAGGCAACCCCACTCACAGCACATATGCAAATAGTTTTTGAGCAATAAGGTTTAATTAGCAATTAAATGAAGTAAAGGCTGTAAATTAAGAAAACAGTGAAAGTATCAATATCCAGATACTGAGAATAAAACTAGTACCAACACTTGATACTTATTTTAACAAATATTGATACTGAATTAAATTCTTAAATATTAAATTGGGTATCAGAACTTGCGTAAGACCACCTGGTAATTAAAAAAAATATATATATAATTATTCTAAATTAGTTAAAAGTCATGTTCTATTGTATCACTGTCTTATTGTGGGATAAAAATTTCATTTTGTGTATTGTGTCTTTTCTTGGGTATCAAAATAGAGTTTTATTTTTCAGTATAGTGACAGCTCTAGTGGGTATCGTAACTAATGTTTGAAGTAAAGCTGCAGAACATTCCAGGCAAAGCAATAACTTCCACTGAGACAAATGAACTGATAAACCACGCAGTGCACTTAACATGTGTGTGAAAAGTCCAACTCCAGTTCATTTGCTTAGTCATTAGTTATGTCACTGTATATTCCACTTGTATTTCAGAGATCAGACAGGACTGTTCCAGCAGCTCTTTGATTCCGCTTGTGTTTTGGTGTCTTCTCTGAATAGCAGTATCCATCAGCGCTGCTTTAATCACACTGTATAGATGCACTTTTCTGTCATTGGCCCCATTTAGCTCTCAGTGGGCTCTTAATCACCCGTGCCCTGGCCCAGGTCTGGGGCTTATTGTGTGCCGCTTGATTACGTAAACAAGAGAAAATACGCCATGGTACCAGAATAATGACTGATTTCCAGGTAGAGAGGACTGAATCTGAACTAAAGCTTAGTGAATAATAGGGCCATAGCCTACATATAATGGCCTACTGTACTAGTGGAGGTGGTGGAAGTCTGTAGAATCAATGAAGAGTGGTAGAATGGGTGAAAAATCTGGATGTTAGTGATGGCACTGGAACACTTTCATTGTTCCTCTAATTGTAAGTAAGCAAAGTAACATTACAACAATTATTTAGTGTCAAATATTTGAACATCATTGGATTTACTTTTTTTAGTAGTTGGCTTTTGTGTTCTTCAAGTGCTTTTGAATCTTACTCACAGTTCTGGTATTTCTAAACCATTTAGGGTATTTGTGGTAAAAGCCTAAAGATGTGAAGAACTTACTAGAATACTCAAGCCAGACTTGGGGAAAGGAAGCCAAATATCTCAGTAGAAAAGCTACACCTTGGAACACTTCATTGAAAATATAACTGAATTCAATTTCCCACCATAGATCTGGAGTAAATGATTTTCTGTGCCAGCTCCAATGGACACACAGCTGGTCTTCGGAAAAGGACTAGACTGGTCTAAATCCAAGTGTTGTTCATTTGTAGTGTGAAACAGACTGAAAATAAACAACTGCAAATTGTTTCAAAATGATCTCTCAAAATGTAACTGTAAACATTCCAGTTACACTTACAGTGAGGGCCTTTATAATGATTTTTATAGCCTACTCAATCTGGCGGAATAGGAAATTAACACATGACTGACTGGCTCTCTTCTTTTGCCACACTGACACATGTAAGGACTTGCATTGCCGGCATGTTCACACATTATTTAATATCCTAATAGTAAGTAGAGGTTTGCCGTGCATTCCAGGAGGGTGACTTAAAGCAGCAGGGATGCACCAGGCCACTGTCAGGTACGTGAGCCCAGTCCCCTGCCTTTTAAGGACGCAGCAGACTCCCGTCAGCGCGCCGCTCTCTAAACAGTTTACATGGACGTCAGGGAGGACAAAACACTGTCCTGACACAAAGCAGACACACGGGACACTGATGCTCCAGCTGTGCCAACGCAGCAATCCAAATAATATCCACACCAGCATTGTGCCATCTCAGTAATCTGCCTTTTATGGTTAGCTTTAGTATGCAGATGGTTACCGTTAAACAGCAGTGTGCAGATGGTTAGTTTTAAACAGCAGTATGCAGATGGTTAGCTTTAAACTATGCAGGTCGACCTATTGTGCTCATGTGTGAAATGTGACAAACGTTCTTTACATTTTACATATGGTTATGAACAAGGCAATATTATTTACAGCTTCATGTTTTTCCAAGTTACTTAAAGGTGAACTCCATAAATCTCTGGTGAAGGATCTGCCACCTGCTTGTCTCCGTGGATATGTGATAGATTTGTCTGAATTGTTTCACAGTATGGCATTAAACATGTCTCTGTCTCCATGTCATTGCGTCTTGATCCTATCAGACATAAGCATGTTTCTCAAGGTAAATGCAGAAGTGATAGAAGCACCTGCAAGGAAGATTCCAGGCAGTGCATTAACATCTCTATTAGGGCTGGGTATCATTAAGAAGTTGCCGATACGATACATACCTTGATACACAGGCCACGATACGATACATATCTCGATACAGTGCACTTTCGATTTGATATGATATATTTCAAATCGATTCGATACGGTTCAATAAAAAATAAAGTCTAAATCATGGCTGTGATACTAAAGTCTTTGTTAAACCACTTCTTGTGCAAAGTTCATAAGAAACACAAACATTTTAATCATCAATACAGTGAAAATGTCAAATGTGTTGCATAAATGAGTTTCCTTTCACTCCACAAGCCACAAAACTGTAGCACTGTAACAAAATAATTTAGTAAAACACACGTAAAAATACTCTTGCTGAAATATCAATACAGTAGCCCACGATATCGATACTGTATCATCACATTAAACGATACGATATATCGATATTCCAATATTTTTGCACAGCCCTAATCTCTATGGAGTCAAGCAGGTAGTAAACCCACTACTAGTAAAGTTACACAGAACAGCTTTAAGTTAGTTTGGTATAATTTTATTTTAAGACACGCATAACACAAAATCTGATTTTAGACCACTTGTGTCCAGAGATCGACCAATATGCATTGTGCCGATATATTTTTGGGCCGATATATCAGTTGATCTCTTGTCCAGACAGAATCATGGCTCTATCTTCAGCTACTTAACTTCTTTTAAAAATATTCTTTCAAATGATATTAATTAAAACATGCAGCTGTGTTTTAGTATTTCTGTATTCTACTTCAACCAGGCAGCCATGCGAAACCAAACTGAACTGCAATTTGAGTTGGTGCACTGATCTCCTCACTAGGGGTGTGCAAAAATATGGAAATATCGATATATTGTATCGTTTAATGTGATGATACAGTATCAATATCGTGGGCTGCTGTATCGATATATTTCCAAGAGTATTTTTTGGCATGTTTTACCAAATTATTTTGTTACAGCGCTACAGTTTTGTTGCTTCTTCAGAGGAAGAAAACTTGTTTATGCGACACATTTGATATTTTCACAGTTTTCATGATTTAAATGGGCATGTTTCATATTCACTTTGCACAAGAAATGGTTTAACAAAGATTTTTAGCATCACAGCCATGATTTAGCCATTATTTTTTAACCGTAACAAATTGAAATATATCGAATTGAAAGCTCACTGTATCGAGATATGCACTGTATTGTGGCCTTTGTATTGAAGTATGTATCGTATCGGCAACTTATTGATGATACCCAGCTGCACTCCTCACCTGTTTATTTATGGCATAGTTTATTGTTGCCAAAAATAATTTAAAACGTCAAAAGTATTATGGTACCTTTCTACCTGCTGGACACTCGTAACACTTTACATCAAGGAGTCACTCAAACATTCACACACACACATCCATACATTGATACACAGACACACTGCAGGAAGCAAGGTGATTTAGTGTCTTGCCCAAGGACATAACAATGCTCTGATAACAGCAGGAATCAAACAAAATCTTTGCATCAGTGAATGAATGCTTGCTCAACTGCCGCCCATGTGACTAGATTCTTGCTCCCACCAAAATATTTGAAAGGTTAGTAAGTAAGAATTTCTGTGTTTGCTGTGCCAATTGACTTGCCATCACGAAATGAGTATCTGTTCATGTGGGGTAGAAATGTAAATTTTAAAAAATGAATGCCTGGAATTAAAACTGTCGCTATTAGCCCCCCTTTTATCAGCCCTGTTCTGCCTGAATAGTCACTGTATAAGGCCAGGTTTTGAGTAAAGCCAGGAGTGAGAGAGGGAGAGAGGGGGAAACCTGAGCGCGTCCAATGAAGTGAGCGAGCCAGGCGGGACAAGACGATCAGAGAGAGAAGGAGAGAAGGAGAAAGAGAGAGAGAGAGAGAGGGAAGAGGAGGGAGAGGGAGTGATGTTTGGGAAAGCTGTTTCTCCCTAGTTTGGTGTGATGGAGTGGAGGCTATGCAAACCCTTTTGAAATACATGCTTTTGTTGGCCACTGATCCCAGACTGAGAAGACTTATCTGCAGAACATTTACAAGTATTCAGTGTGTGTGTGTGCGTGTGCGTGTGTGTGCGGATAGGGGCAATAAGAGTGAGAGAGTAGGGCTGATTGATTTGGAAAAATATCTGTTATTGTGATTTTTTTTTTTTTTTTTTTTGACAAGCATTGCAGTTGTGTTTAGACTTTGATGTTTTGTTTCTTATTCATATTTGAAGCACATCCAGGAACATTAACATTTGACAGAAGACTGAAATATGAACTGCTGAATGAGAATGTTTTAGTCTGACTTTCTGGCTAGCTCCAAGAAGGGTGTCAGGATTAATTAGTTTTACAATTACATGGTAGCTCTTAATTGAATCCCCTCTCCTGAAGTACTTGACATCATGGTACTATTGTAATTTACAGTACAAAAGTAAACACACAGTAGGACTACAACAGTGAGGCTGCCGTGTGTCTGCGCAGGAATGCCCATGGGCCTTTTTCATTTCTCCTGTTATTTTTATACCCCACATCTCTGGTGTTTTATTAGCCAATATGGTCCACTGCTCCATACACAAAGATTGTCTTACCTTATGAGAAAAGAGTTATTTTAGTAACAAAATCCCACATATGAAACCAGACATTTCCTCAGGCGAGTCGTGTGTCAATGCGGACATGCAGTACTGTACTAGCCCCACTGTTGTAAATGTTTTTAAGCATGTGCATGTTTTATTTGTTATTTGTTTGTATTTTATTTGTTAATTCTCCCTTGGACACTTTAGGGTGTGATGTATGACAAGTAATTCATTTCTTTATAGGCTTATAGTAAAACACATTCATCCAGGCTTCCCAACAAAAAATACAGGAATGTTGCTCATTTATTTCTTCTATAAAAATACAGAACAAAATATAGTGACAGGAAAATGTGTGTAAGTTTTAATATTTGGCTTCATACTTCTTTAACCAATATGTTACCCTTTATTACCAAATTACTAAAATGTAAAAATTAAAATGTGAAAAAGTGGAGGGAGGTTTATTATCTGACAATATCTCTGTATATCTGAACCAAACTTCATTTGTTTTGTTGAACTCTTTGATCCCTTGAGAAGATCTTAAAAGGTCATTTAGTATAGCAATTTATGAGGCTATTGTGCATATGTATAGAAAGAAATATCTAGAATTAACAGGATAGAATAAATGATATCAGTATAACAAGTGGCAGAAGTGTAAATTCAACCATTTCTATCCCGTTACCTGTCAACTAATCAGAGCCTGCGACCAAACACATATTTAGTTATTCACATAAGAAAACTCCATCTGAACCACAGTCCTCCTTACCGTCTCCACTACTACAGCAGAATTACCAGTGATTTGTGTGTGTCTAAGTGTCCTCATTGAACTGTAATGATTTTGTTTTACAGTTGGCTGGAAAGTACGACCACCAAAAGGAGGAAGAGCTTCGATTATGGATTGAGGAAGTGAGCGGTCAGAGGATCGGGGACAACTTCATGGAGAGTCTCAAAGACGGCGTGATACTGTGCGAGTAAGTGCGTCATTGGTATCCTAGTATTTTATGTCACCATAAAATAAAATAACTGCCTCTTATAAGATAATCAGCTTGACTAGACTTTCTATCTGCCCCCCTTTTGTAGGCTCATAAATGCTCTCCAGCCTGGCTCCGTGCGAAAGATCAACCACTCCAGTCAAAACTGGCACCAGGTACAGCACTAGCACTACAGGGCAGGAGACGGGACTATTCTTACTTTTCTCCGACTTCTTTACTGACACTGATAAACGTATTATCAGCTTTTAGTGCCCATCATTTCAAAGGATGTCCATTTTACCACTCAGTTTATGGGCACTTTACGAGGCTCAAAACATAAACAAGGATTTTAATAGTTAGACTTGAAAGCCTATTGAGAATTCTCACCGGGATAGTTCTTGGAGAGCTCATGTAAAAGCCTATTTTTGGTCATCTCACAAGACGCCATACAGCAAATAATAAGATATTCATCAACAACACAAAACATAACTATTTTTCATTATTCAACTGTTTTGGACACTTTTGTTCTTTTTACAATGTGGAAGTGTGGGACAGTTGAATGTATGAGATAAATGTATGTAAATGCACTGAATTGTTGCAATGGACTGTTACTTTTACGCTTTAGTTAAATCATTTTCCAAAACTACAGTATTTTAAAAGTTGTTAAAATATGCTTCCTGAAGTCCTAATTTGGAAGATAGAAATAGTGAGCTGCAATTTTGAATGGACTTCATAGAGAATGACAATCATTCCAGACTGTACTGTACTCATACCACAATAACCAAATATTCCATTTTCCTCATCTAATAAGATTTTCCTCTTTCCTTTCATGATCAGCTGGAGAACATCGGGAATTTTGTGCGCGCTATCACAGAGTATGGCTTGAAGCCTCATGACATCTTCGAGGCCAACGACTTGTTTGAGAACGTCAACCACACTCAGGTCCAGTCCACACTCATCGCCCTGGCTGGAATGGTGAGTACTGACTCTCATGCACCAACATCTGCTCTGAGAGACGCTGTCCAATCAACAAACGACTACATGCTCTAGTCTATTGTGACATTTTTTTATCTCGGCTCCTATAATCAAATTTTATAAAAGCCTAATAGAAACAATGTAGTTATTAAAATGAATTTTTTTCTTTAAAACGTGATACTTTTTGGATTTAGGCCAAGTCCAAAGGTGTCCATTCCAAGTATGACATCGGAGTGAAGTATGCAGAGAAACAACAGCGACGATTTGCTCCGGAAAAGCTCAGAGAGGGACGCAACATCATCGGTCTGCAGGTCAGACAATAATCACATACATGTCTAGGAATCTATGTGTTTACTTTTAGTATTAGTTTCAACTCTAAAATACCTTTCAGTGAGTCCTGTTAAGTGATAATGTTTTTTGTCATTGACATGTAAAAAAAGAGTTTTTTGGTGTCACATCATCTTGAAGTGTGGCAGTGGATTTCTGCTGAAGTCCTTTCGTCACTCTACTGTGATCTTTGTTCTGTGCTTTGTTCATGCATGAATTCTTTTTCATTTCTCTACAGATGGGCACCAACAAGCTGGCAAGTCAAAAGGGCATGACTTCCTATGGCACGCGGCGCCACCTCTATGACGCAAAGATTGCCATGGATAATCCTCTGGACCAGTCCACCATCAGTTTACAGATGGGCACCAACAAGGGAGCCAGCCAAGTACGCACTAGATTTCTTTTTCATTGTCTGAATTTTAGCAACGATGGTGGATTGAAATATAATCTTCACAAACATGAAATTATGGTATATAAATGCAAAAAGTGAAGCATTTTTACTTGTTACAATCCAAAAATGGTGGAAGTGGAAATAATGTAACAAGATTAATAACTATTAGCTATTGCCCACTGTCCAATGAGAAAAAAATCTTGTTTTGAAATAGATTGTGTGCAGGTTTTTAATCAATAATGTGTCTAGTCCATAGAATGTGTAAATGAGCATAACTAACATGCTGGCCACCACATTCTAAATAGGAAGCGAGCACAGGCTTCAGGTCACTCTGTTTTGAAAAATGATCGACCTTCTCAGGCTCTTTTTTTATTTCACTATTTTGTCCATAAATCAGTTCCTTTTCTTAATACGGAACTCTGCTCTGGATTTGCCCCATAACTGCTAGCCTTGGGAGCTTCATTTGACTGGAGCTGAACACTATGGATGATGTCAAACTCCCTACACTTCTTTATCCACTCTGGGGTCTTGGCTCATGGAATCTAATCATAATAATCACGCAAAACTCTCGTCTGAGCGTTGTAGGGACAAAGTGGCATACAATATATTGTAACTGTACCGTGCATTGAATAGTAATTTACTTCGGCACCATGAGACAATTGAACCTTGCATTGTTGATTCCTTTTCCTTTTTAGGCTGGAATGACAGCCCCAGGAACCCGGCGGCACATCTTTGACAAGAAGCTGGAGCTGGAGAACTGTGACACCTCCACCATCTCCCTTCAGATGGGCACCAACAAAGTGGCTTCACAGCAGGGCATGACCACCTACGGCCTGCCCCGCCAAGTTTATGACAACAAATACTGCGCCAATCCCACCGAATACTTCTATGACAACGGTGACACGGTGGAGTTCGATGGCTACAACCAGTACTCTGACTGAAGACCCCAAAATTCAACCCCCCTCCCGCAATCTTGCTTCAAACAACCCAACACCACTGTCACTGAGACTATTACGTGTCCAACATTGACATCATTGTTGATTCATTCCCCACCGTTTTTTTTTTAAACAAGTGTGTTGTTTGTCTTTCCATGAGTAAAAGAAAACGATGGTTTACATTTATAAGAAAATTGGCCAACTCTTCTATTTTTAGAAAATACCATGACAATTTGTATTTTGGTCAATATTATCCAAAGAGATGTTTTATAATTTTTGCTATTTATACATTTTTCTAGTGCTTTTATACTTTCCTTCTAGGGAGTTGTTTTCTTGCCACATTCAAGTGAGATGAATCCTAAATGGATACATTTCTTGGCCATCTTGGTGCTAATGAATGTTGAATTTGCAGATTTATGATAATTTCTGTATTTTAAGAACCTTCGCTGGCTTCCTCTTTGCTCTCCTGCCCACTATGAGCTGATTCTGCTTTGCAGGGCAAGTTTTATGATGGTTTTGTTTAGCTTATTAAAGGCTGTTTGTTGAAGATGGGGGGGAAATCAAATGCTTTTGACAGCGATTGTAAGTAATACGTTATGGTATTCTATGTTTAGTTTTACATTTATGCTCTTCTTGCAGTTGCTGCCTATCTTTTTCACTTGTGTGTAATTAACAGCAAAGACAGAGAACTGAGGTGTGACCAGAACATGGCAAAGGCACATCAGTGTTTCTTGCTACTGTTCTACTGTTGTTAACCCACCGAACGACCTGAATGTATTGTGTCATGTATTTTAGGGCTGAAGCTCCCCCTGGTGTTAATTTCTACAATGACAATACCGTGTTCTTTAAGGCAAAGAGATCGTCTGATGTGTGAAACTAACACTTAAACATTGTTATTGTGCGCCATCTAGTGTTGTAAGATAATTCTTGCCCTTCTTTGATTTCACTAAATTAAATAACATTGAAATTTTAAATAAAATGTCATAAAACTTGGATTTTTTTTAAAATAAATTATATATAGAGATATTTTATATTGCTTGTTTTTATTCCCATAATTGTGAGAGAAACTTTATATAAAATGTATTTCAACTGTATTGCAAATGACTAATCTTTTGTATGTCTGTCACTACCTGGCATTTGTGCAATAAAACACTTCAAACATAAAAGTAGTGGATTTTAATACTGTATTTTCATTACTACAAAATTCACTCAATTGTTGAAAAAGAAGCATTTCAATGAAAAGAGAAGAAAACTGGACAAGACAAAGTTCTAAAAAAAAAATGCATTGGCAAAAGGAATGCAAGTACGTTTGATTATCAAATACAAACTGTAACTTTGAAGAAGATAAAGACAAACTAATCATTTCTTTTGTGTGTTTATACCTACAACAAATACCTGTGGACATAGTATGAAGTTAACTGACGTATAATGTGAAATGCAAATGGTCACGGTCTTACTTTCTAATGAGGTAAATCGTCATGGAAACTTCCTACTTCCTATTTAGGTGTGCATGTGCCCAATCACTGACAAAGAAGGAAATACTGCTGATTTCCTGGACCTGAGTTTAGTTTGCTCTGCCCAGGTCCCAGATACAAGGTTTAGTCCAGGGGTCGGCAACCCGCGGCTCCAGAGCCACATGCGGCTCTTTAGCACTCCCCTAGTGGCTCCCTGAAGCTTTTTCAAAAATGGAAAAGGAATGATTTTTTTGGTTGTTGTTTTAATATGGTTTCTTTAGGGGTAAAACCCTCATTCATCTCTGGTCATGGATTGATCCATCAGCTGTGTGCAAATGAAACACATGAAAAGTGTTTCAGCAGAACAAATAGATGAGCTGAAGCGGGGGGTGGTGTCCGGTGCCTCCACCTGAGAAGCGCTTTACCCGAAAAACAAAAACAAAAAAACATGTGCACAGACGGACCACTCAGAACAACATATAACGAACCAAACTGGATTCACGCTTCTATCCGGATGCTTTGCACCAACTCGGAACCAGCCGTGGTCGAGCACGGAGGACCAGAGCAGACTGCCCGGACCTGTGGTCCACAGCGCATTCTCGCTTTTCCCGCACGGAACCAGCGCACAGATGACAGCACTGAAGCACTCAGACCCAGTCCTTTGCGCCCTGGTCTTGCTCGCCCCTGTCTGGAACCAGGACATGGAGGACGAAGCCTCCGGACAATCTGACCAACACTGGACCCCCAGCCCCGTCTTGAGGGGCTGCGCGCTGACTGCCCCGTGTGTTTGGCGCTGTTGCCCGAGCTCAGAGCTTCTGCTCCGAGCGGTGTGGTGCGGTGAGTTGCGTACAAAGTTGTACATGCTGCTGTTTTATGAGTGCTCCTATGCACGATCAGAAGAAATGCGACTGCTGCTCTGAATGCTTCCGTCATCGTCGTCAAAGCAACAGGTAAACGTCGGTCGCACTTTCAGCGCGTCAGCTCCTAAAACTCCGTTTATCTCAGTTTACACGCAAACGTGAAACCGGAGTTTTCCAAAATCTCCACTCTAGCCAGAGTTTTTAGAAAGATTTGTTTTCAGAGGTGAACTCGCCGTTTTCGTGTAAACAATGTGAACAAACGAAGGGAAATGTCTCCGTTTTTTAAAAATACCTGTACGTGTAAACAGGGCCTAAATGACAAAGGAATAAACACTAACCACCTGATTTCAGTGGCTACAGACGGCGCACCGAGTATGAGAGGGTCGCAAAAGGGGTTTGGGTAATCATGAAAGCTCATTTTGTATTTGTAGCCTACTTAGTCATTTTAATAGTAGGCTTATACAGCTAATATACTGACAGCCTATGTTGCCTTCATATTAGGTTTATATAAGGCTTTTCATTTTTTGCGGCTCCAGGCAGGTATGTTTTTTGTATTTTTGGGCCAATATGGCTCTTTCAGCATTTTGGGTTGCCGACCCCTGGTTTAGTCTTATGATGTGAAATACACAGAAGTGGATTGAGGCAGTGCTCTCATCCGTGAGAGAAAACCAATATAGTTACAGGTCTGTTGGTTAGTTACACTGTGACCAATATATGTTGTAGATTCACTAGACTGGATCAGCAACTGGAGAAAAGTCCAACATTGAGGTTGAAGGAAAACTTCACTATTGATTGGCTGCTTCACAGGCATCGATCCAGTCGCTGTAAACATCCACTGGTTCTGACAGATCTGCACATAACATGGTCAAGGTATTAATTTAAAAAAACACAGAGGAAATATATTAAACTCAGTCCACAGAACATCTTCTCAGTTAAGTCATTAACTTGACTAATACTTAATACTTTTACTTGCAATAGTTTAAAAAACAGATTTTTGTATTTGGATGACTGTTTGTATTATATTTGTTTTATTTTGGCTTGACTTTGGCTATTTTCATGAGATATGCACAATGCAAATGCTTACTATATTTGAGATTGGGCTAAAATTAAGCTATACTGTCACTTGACTTGATACATTACATGGAGTTAATTTGTGAGGTTATTTTGAGGAAATAATTACTTAAGATAAAACAATGCAGTAATTAATGTGTAATACATTACAAAAAAATATCTTAAGGTAGACTTTATTATACCCAGACCTGTATTTGTGTGTTTTATATCATATGAATTTACATTTTTTGTTTCACCTGTTAACTCCATCAGCTTAATTACTAAATAATTACACAACATAGATCTGAAACTATGACCAGCACTAATGCAATTAATAAAAATGAATAAGAGTAATAAATAGCAGATTCAGAAGTGTGAAAGTGTGAAAAGGATACATGTTATAGGGGTCTGAAACTCCTCCAAACAAACGCTGCAGGATATAATTCCTGTGTTTCGAGTTCTCTCCCTGAAAAAGAAACACAAACGTTAGATCACACATTATTAACTAATTTTCACTCAGTTTAACTCACATTTTCACATCACAAGACTTCTCGTGGTTACAGAAGGGACAGGTAAACTGGGTGTCCAAATTTCCAGTCATCTTCTTCTTGGGAGGTGGCTTTCTCTTTGACTTTCTGCGACCCATTCTAGGATGATCAACACAGAGACATTCAAATGCAGTCTGGAAAAATAGGTTGTGGAAAAACTGCCATGATAATCGCTGCTTGAGATGCCATGCATAAAATGACTGAATGTCCCTTTTTACCCGGGCCAGTCCCAAATTTAAGCCCTGTGTCCTCTGTCCCAGCAGATTTACATAAAACCAGTGATTTGTCCCAGTTTTTTTTACAAGAAATGTCCCAGGTGTCCCTATTTTTTACCAATCTGATACCTTCCAACAGTAAAGAGAGGCATACATTGTCATTTCTTTAGGCAAAATACAGAACAGCTGCTTAAAATAACAAAAACAGAAATAAAATGTGACTATATTGACTCATAATAGTGCCGAGTGCGAAACAACTGTCCTTAGTTATGCAATCATTACAGTTTTGTTACTATCAACCAACCCAAACCAGGGATGTCCTAGATTTTTATTTGGAAAATCACAATGCACCAAGATAGAAGCTTGTTTTACTGAACACTTCTTCTATAATTGCATTTGAAAAGAAGATAATTATACGTAAAAACAAAAAAAAAAACAATTATATCAATGAAACAAAACAGCTACACGAGAAACAAGAACGCTAACGGCGAGCTAGCTATAACATCGTGTTGTAATGAGTAGACCGTATGCATTATGTTTGGAAACAGAGAGAAAAAATGTTTCGTGCGTTATACAAACAAATGCATTCAACAAATACCTGGCGTTTCCTCTCCGATCGTAGAAATCACTTTTAATCGCAAGAAAAGGATGCTCGGTCCTCGGTGTTCCGTTCCGCCGGATGATGCTGCGGCGTCACTAACGTCACAGCTGATTGGTTCGTGGGGAATCAGGTCGGATTGTGATTGGCTCGCCACACGAAGACAAACCAACGGTAGGTGTACTGTACAACAATAACAACAACAACAACAAGAGTATTTTGTCTTATAATAAAATGTAAAAGTGTAAATGGTAAATAGTCATAAGATGCACAGCTCATAAACATACACCTTTTTGTTCTGTATCCATTATATTTAAGTTATGCTATTTTCTGATCTAGAAATTGAAATGTGTTTTGTTTCATTCACACATGTTTAATACAAAAATCCTGCATATTTACGCTGAGTTCTTCTCCCAAATAGAAAACACTCTGTTCCACCTTGTCATGTTAGCACAGGAAGTGCTCCATTGCGATTTTGAACTCCATACAACTTGACTAGAATCATTTGGATCATTTCAGCCCTGGAATTGCCCATGTCTGCTAAACAAACGGTAAAAGGTAGCTATTAACTTGAAAACTACAGCTTCATGACATCACAAGAGCATTTTGAGCTCTGTAGATGTAGAAGGACAAATAAAGGATTACTCATAAACGTGTTAATGAAAAAAAAAAAAAAGAGGGAAAAAAAGGAAAAAATTTGTCATATTTTTTTGTGTGTTTTTGTCATTTTTAAGCAGCTTTTCTGTATTTTACCTAAACAGATTACACTTCAGGCCTTTCTTTACTGTTGGCAGGGATCAAATTTGTCAAAAATAGGGTGGTGTGGGATATGTGTTGTGTAAAACTGGGACAAATCAATGGTTTTGAATAAATCTGCTAGAACAGGGGACACAGGGCTCAAAACTGGGACTGTCCAGGGGAAACAGGGACGTCTGGTCACCCTAAACAAAACACAATTCTGTGTATGTTTGTGATAAGGTAACATTGTAACATGTGAGTAAATTTAGCTAAATGTAGGACCTTAAATTTTCAGTTTCTCCATTAAAATTTCGGGTTTTGTAAGAAGTGTTACAGGCAAAAATCTGTTGTAGTAGTTTGGGAATGAGAACAACATTCTCTATTCCTGAATAATATGTTTCTGGATCCTTCATGTAGTTTATGCACTTTATATAACTTTACGTAACTCTTATTTTAATAGACCCATGTCTTTACAGCGCCACGATTGGCTGAGCTCTCGTGTGGGCGGGGCTTTGTTTCAAAACAATTGACGCAGGAAGTAGCGTTGTCTTGAACCTTGCTCCATTTTATTTATTTATATACGTGTATTTCGGTCTTGGACGTAGAAGAGAGCGGATCCCTGTGGTAAGTGTGTTCAGAGACTGTCTCTGTGGCATTGAGCACGTTTAAAAATGCTATATTTGTTGTAGAAAAGTCTTGTATAGTCTTTGCAGTCAGTGGGTGAAGCTAGTAGTTAACATACATTCAGTACTCCAAGTAGTAGCTCTGCAGATGACTTGTGTGCGATCCCATAGCACACCTACTTGTATTTTTGTTATATGTTGTAATTGTAAATACTAAAAAACATGCACCAGGGACTACAGGTGGAAATTAGCTCTAGTAGTGCTACAACCTGACACAATGCATCTCTCCTGTTAAGGTTAATGTATATTGTGCACTGCCCCTGTCTCATAAATAAACTAAATACATAAATAAATAATGTCAGTGTTATTGCCCTTGTCCGTGCAACTGTATACGTCATCTTTCAAACAGTCTCTTATCTCACTGCACCACCCCTCCTCTAGTCTGAACCACCCACTCCAGCTCTCTGTGCCTCTGGGTGTCATAGTTTGCTTGTTTTTGTCATGTGGACTCAAAAATGGAGGCTAGTCAAAACATTTGCTCCACTATTGGTGAGTCATTTTTAATTTGTTGAAACTATTATTGTTTTTATTTTTTACCCATAGGAAACATCAGTAAATTGTTGAGGCAATATTCTTTTTTGGAAGCTTTTTATTACCACTCAACAAAACGAAACAATGTTAAATGATAAAATACATGTTAGTTTTATGATATATCACTCAATAATATGCACTAAGAGGGGGTAACAGCTGGTAGTAGGGCATAAAAAAAAATCTAAAAGTCTAAGTATAAATTCATGTTGTTGAAGGTGATTATTTTCTTCTGTATACATTATATTAGACAACATGGCGACTGAGGGTGAACCCACAGATCTGGTGAAAGTCCTACACCTGCTCGTGCTGTCATTCACCTGGGGCATGCAGCTTTGGGTCACATTCATTGCAGGTGATTATAATATTCTCATGAGCAGTAGTTAATTATTACACTGATTTTGACTAACTTCACTTTTATATGTGGTTAGGTTTTGCTCTGGTGCGGCAGGTGAGTCGGCACACCTTTGGCCTGGTGCAGAGTAAACTTTTCCCTCCATACTTCTACTGCCTGCTGGGGAGTAACTTCATCAGCCTGACCCTGTATGCCTTGTACCACCCCAGAGAGCTGCTGGAGACTCAAGAAGCCATACAGGTGAATGGGCAACTGGGCATCGTTTAAGAACATCTTTAAAGTAGGTCTGTCTCAGTCACAAATCTGGAAGTGTGATATATTGCTACAAAGATATATGACATATGACAATAGTGAAACTACTCTATGCCACTGACAAAATAAATCTATTCTCAGTTGTTACGGCCTGGGCTCGAAACACAAAAGTAAGGGGAGATGACAACAGTGACGGTTTTTAGCCCTGGTGTGGACGTTTATTGTAAAAGCATGAAAGCATGATAGTAGTAATGGTAGTGATGGTATCAGCGTGGTGGCATGGCAGGCCCGCAGGTCAGAGTGGAGCAGGAGAGACAAAGGGGCAGATGTATGCATGCATACAGGCTTTATACTCCCACGGCCCGGCCTTGTGGGAGGAGCAGGCAGGCAGGGCAGGACCTGGAGGCGAGGACACACACACCTGGAGGAGAGAAAGAGAGAGAAAGAGAGCGGCAGAGAGGGTGCAGGGCGAGCCACGGCCTGGGCCGTGACACCGTAAACCCTTTTCTAAATGTAAAAAATGCAGAATGAAGCCCCTTAGTACTTAGTTAGTATTTATAATTAGAAAAGTTACTTTTTAAACTCTCAACAGCTAAACTGTTATCAAACTAAAAATAATATAAAAAAATGTATAAATAAAATCTAGACATGATTAAATATTTCTTCTTAGGGTAAATAAGTGTTGTCCAAATGAGTCCCGAATGAGTTGTACAGAGAGGCAGAGACTCGGTAAATAAACTTGTGCCTCAGACATCTCCATCAGTCCAGGACCCAGTGACTTGAGTACTCAACACTGAGTGTTAGAATTGGCTATTCCAGCTTGACTCTGCTTCCACAGAAGGAGGTTTAAATAGGAGCTAAGAAGGACAGCCTGGAGACATATTAGTCGAGATAAAATGAGAAGTGCATAGCAGACCACTTCTCTATAAGACGAGTTGACAAGAGAAACTGATGATGTTAAAGAAGGAATTCTGGAATAGTTGGATGATGCCAGAGAAAATGTAAACAATGAACTGGTGCCCTAAGTCTGTGAAAGGGATGCAAAATTCCACAATATTGAGCCCCCTAAAATATTATTCCAAATATTTTTTATTGAACATTCAGTCAATATAATAATTTTTGTGACAGGTTTCTCTGAAAGCACAATATACAATGTTAAAATCAAATCAAATAATGAATGTAATTCTAAAAACATAACACCCCTCAGTAATATAGTAGGCTATAATATAATGCACCTATGGGACTGTTTAGGGCAGGAGTTTCCAACCTGTACCTTGGGCGCTACCAGTAGCTCTTCACCCGCCTTCCTAATAGCTTGACAAGGGATGTCTTTATTATAGGTTTTGTACTGAATAACTAAAGTTTGGTTAATTAAATGCCTATTGCCATTACAATCTGTACCTCATCTAAGGCTCTCTGTGGCTCAATTTCTCATGACCGCTAAAATTTGTATCACTGGCATTTTTGTTTTGTAAATGTAGCTCACTGGAGGGAAAAGGTTTAGGGACTAGGGTTTAGGGACTAGGGTTTAGGGACTACGGTTTAGTTCCATTCATTTCTGGGTGCTGAGCTTAGTCAGTTTCTTTAAATGTTGCAGTTCTTGATCACTGACTAATTTATTTTTGTTTGTAGATGCTGCTGTACTTTGTAGCCCTGGTCACGGCTACTTTAAATGCCCAGTGGTTCGGTCCTTCCGGTACCGAGGTCATGTTCCAGATGTGGGAGGTGGAGAAGGAGCACGGGTTAGGACAACAGATCGGACTTGGCAGCCAAAAGGAGGAATATGCCAAGCTCAAAGAGAAAGACCCTAAGTACAGAGAGTACAGGAAAGTGTTTGGGCGCTACCATGGGCTCTCCTCTCTCTGCAACCTGATTGGCTTCATTTGTGCCACTGTTAATTTAGTTTACACTGCTCTAAATCTCTCCACCATATAAAAACTAAATTTACTTGATTCAGACAATAGACCAAACTGTGAAATGGTACATGTACTTTTTAGTTTGCTTTTCATAATGATGTTTAAAAAAATATTGAATTACTATTTTTGGGCAGCCTTATATTGTCAGCAGAGGGCAGTATTTTTACAAAATAGAGTTCAGTGAACTGTATTACAGTTTTGTTTTGTTTTTTTAGCTCCAGTACTCTTCATGTTATGAATTATATTTTTGTAAGTTTATGCATCTTTTTCAATGTTAGTAGCAAAGAATGAAAATATTGCCAGAATTAAAATTGGCCACTTGCAATATCAGTTAATTTTTACGTGAAGAGCGGCAGAAATATATTTATAATCATAATGACAATATATTTTCTTTACAGGCTAGGCAAAAACTGTATAAACTGTCATCTAAATTTACCTGACATTTTTTTATCAAAAGAGACTTAGGATTTCTTATTTTCTCAAAATCCGTGTTTCATTTATCCATATCAGTATATTAAATATTGCAGTGATTGTATTTGTTTTGATTATATGGCATATTCTTATAATAAACTTTGAGAGGTTGATTCTCTTGCCTTTTGCATCAGGGCCATGTTTCCATGATGAATTTATCATAAAAGATCTTCCTTGTTGCCAGCAGGCAGCTCCTGGTTGAGATCTGTCAGGATTCAATTCAATTACACTGAGTGGTGGCACACATCAGACTCACAGTGGGCCAAAGAGACAACACAACTTGGCTGGCTGATAGGTGAGGACTGCACCGGCTTTTAACAAACTGTGTATTATAGAATAATGCTAAAAACTGCTTTTCTAACTTGGAAGAAACACATTTAGCTTACCTCTCATTTTATTTGAGGTTAAATGAATGATGTTTTTATCTATTTTGATATGGGGTTTGGGCTCCTGACCCTCAGGGGGCACCAGAGAAGCAACAGAGGGGGGTCGAGGGCTCCTAGGTGCCTGATGGACATAAAGAAAGAATACATTTATGTAGACTAAATTCAAGTATGTAATCTTAGATTTGAACAAACAAATACAAAAGGCAAAGAAGAGACTGACCTGAAAGCTCTGCACAGGTGAGGCAGAGGAGGAGGGTCCAGGGCTGTGGCTCTCAGCAGGCTGACAGAACAGCATCACAGCATTACAATCCTTTAGTCTTTTTACACACAGCGCTGCAGCTAAAACAGTGAAACCAGTACACATTTAGCAAAGGAAAGACGTGCACAAGAGCAGAGGCGCCGGTCTGCAGAGGCAGAGGGCTTCTGCTGCAGGCAACCTACAAAAGGTCATGTCAGGTTAAACCATGCAGACATATTATGTAACTTAAATATATCTTTAGTGTAATCATATGCAAGATATACAGAGATAATAATGTGATATATGTCCATTCAACACACGTGTAAATGAGTCTTACCTGCTGAGGAGCCAGCGCTGACCCACAGGTGGAGGGCCCAGGGCTGTCCTCTCACTGAAGCTGGAACATCTCATACACAAAGGTTACAACAACATAACAACCACACTACTGTCTTTACACAGACACCACTGTCTTTACACAGCCACTGTCTTTACAACACTGTCCCTAGAGAACAGCGCTGTGTGAATAGTGCAAGAGGAGGAGGACGAGAGGTCCCAGGTGTCAGAGACCTGTACCTCTTCCTGCCGCCCTCCTGTCAGACAAAAAACACACAAATCAACACTTTGTTTCAATGACAAAGCAAACTAGATAAAACGGCAGCAAAATTAATCACAGATTTAAATCTAAATTTGATCAAAGAAAAAAAGACTGAAGTTATTTAAGATTAAATACGGTCTTAAAGTATTTATTTATCCATCTATCTGAGATAGAGAAGGATTTATATTCAAATGTGGGTGGTACTTTTTAAAGACACTGTATTTTTCAGAGTAGTTTTCAGACACCATATCTTTACTCCTACTTAAGTAATAATTGGTTTGAAGTAACAATACTCTCCCCACCGCAAGTCTATAAAAGATTTATGCTGACATGTTAACATTGTGTTTCTTGCACCACTCCTTTAGATATGATTTAGTCTCATGTCTCTGTCCTATCCTTTGAAAATACCAGATATGAGCACTATTTCATGTTTTGTCTTTGCAATTGCATTAACTTTAAATTACAATTCAGATGTTTCATCCAGACAGTTACTTTTAAGTTACTTGAATATCATAACACGCACAACAAATGACATGACAGAAAAACCTGAAAACAATACAGGCTACCGGTTACCATAGCAACGGGGTCTGGGTCAGCTGACCGGGGTAGGACAGGTTTATGACTTTTCAGAAAAAAAATTAAATAGCCTATCCCGTAAACAATCAAGTGGGACTCAGTAAAGAAAACCTTCATTCTGTCCTTTTCAACTTATTTAAAAATAAGGGACTGAGACTCAAAAGTGAAATCAAAGGCAAAATAAATGTATTTGAAATTTCAATAAATCACAAATCTGGTCACAATCATCAAAAAAGGACACCTGGTTTAATGGCAAAAAAAAAAAAAAAGTATTTTGTAACCAGGGATTTCCAAATTCTACACACATTACACATTTTATTCAACATTACAATATTTATAGATTTACTGAATAGTTTACAGATGTACTTTTTATTCTAGCAGCAGGAGGCATTTAGGTAATGACTGACTAAATCAAATCTATAAATACAACTTATTAAAGCTGCAAGATAAGACAGATTTAAGCAGGTACAGTCAATATTACAGTGCATATGGCATGTTGGCAATTATATTTGTGAAGATTTCTAATTTTATTTCCTGGTTGAACACGGCACGACACGGCACGACAGCAGATACAGAGCCAATTTCATAACTTTTACCTAGCAAACATACTGTGAAAAAGGGGCGTGTCTAAAATTACACAATAGTAAAATTTTCCCTGCATTTGAAAGTTTTGATAACAGACGTATTCCTTTTTAAGAACCTCTACGTCCTTGATTTTTATCCTTTTCTTTTCTTTTGTCCATAAACTAACACAAAACTGATGTAAAGCTATGATAAATATTCACTACAAGTAAATATCACCAAACCAAGTAAAAATTATTAGATAAACCTCTCATACACACTTTAAGAACAGGCTAAAAGAGGCAGGTTTTACACCGAAGCAACCCTCTCCATTTATCCAGGCTGGGGACTGGCACAGAGGGACACACACAGCGCCCTCTGTGGCAGGATTAGACCCAACGCCCGTGTTCGTACAGAGTTAGCGTGTTAGTAAGTGCGTGCAGACATACTCACAGTAAACAGCAGCCTTTGGACCTGTAAAGACTAGTTTAAAAGTAAAAAAATACGGCTTAGATCTGCAATGAGAAGAGTCAGAAGAGTTAGAGTTAGAACTGTCATTTCACAAGACAAGACCGAAACAATTTTACAACATACACAATGGCAAAATGAATATGAGATTTAACCTTTAACCCTGTAAAGTTAATACAATGTTTAAACAGAAATGTCAACGTATTTCAAAGTGGTTAAAATCAACAGACTCTGTGCAAACCTGTGGAAGAGTCTGATTAGGACAACTAGCATTTCAGTTTAGTGGCAGGTTTAGGACCAGAGCCATCAGACTCTATAAACCAGTCCAAATCTGGCCCACGTTTAGACCAGTTCAGACCAAACCAAATACAAAACACATCTTTAATCAATCCAAGACTCAGATCAGTTTTCAGACCTTTTCAACTTCAAATGAAACTGTTGAAGGGTTAGTTTGCAATAAGTAATTTCAGTTTCACCCAACAGTAACATGTTTTACCAGCCTGTTTAAATCTGGCCCATATTTAGACCAGTCGAGACACACACCAAAAACACACAAGTGCCTAAACCAAAATGCAACCTGTGGAAATTACGGTGTGAACATTTAATCTGGCCCACTCTACATTTAGACCCGATAAGACCAAGAGAGACCAGCAGTCTCCATAAAGGTGAGTCAACATTTAGAATATGGCCCACTTTAGGACCAGTTTAGCCCTAAAGCTAAAACCTTAGTCTGTAAAATCGTCAGCATAATCAGGACTTGTTTTGAGATGATGATTCACACAGAAATGTCACCTACTTGAGTTAACGTCTGCATGAACAGACCAATAAAACCAGTGAAACCTGCAGCAGGGAAAGATCCGTGTTTTTCTAAACACACATCTCTGTTCTTTCCTGTTCAGTCCGGGGCTGTTGGTGCAGTTTGTGTTCAGGATTCTTTATTTCTGTTCAGTCCTGTTTTAATATTTTAGTGCTTTGACTTAATAGCGTATTTTGTGCTGAAATTGTTGCACTTCAGTGTTCAATTCAATTCTCATTCATTCCATATTTGATTATGGCCTTAGAAAATGGTCCTTTCTTGATTAGTTCAGAAATTTGTCTCCTGAGGTTTTTCTTGGGTCCATTTGTGGCTTTGTTTGTTGCTGGTGTTGTTTGTTACTCTTAATTTAGTACAATTTGTGGCTATTTTACCCAATTCTCATGGACATCAGTGACGGTAACATTGACTGTCACAGCTAAGTTAGTTAGCTTACTACTACTAGCATTAAACCAAATATATTTAGTATTTTTATGAATTAAATTAACTGCAAAGTGTCCTAAAAAGGTAAAGTGATCTGACCCGGGGCATGTGAGAGCTCAGATGGTTGGACTTGAGGCTTGTTGAGTTCAGGTTCTGCTGAAAAACAAACGCTATTAGCTCATAGCTGTTAGCTTAGCTTCGGACGGTGAAATGTGGCCTCTCTCTCGGAGCGCAGACGGAGAATGGCAGAAAATTCTAATCTTGGGGTTTATATATGCAACTATTGGCAACCGTGGAATGTCTGTGTGTTGCCATAAGAGATATAAACTTGTTTTAACTTTACATTTCATTTGAGGAGAGAGGATCTGTATAACCATGTAAAACCCGGACAACAGGTGACAACAATGAAATAAACGTAGGAAACATTATTTTATCACCAACATTTCTGTATTTACCACTTGAAATAGCTCATAAATAGCTTATAACTGTTCTAAATCACCGTGTTACATACACTGAGTGTAGGGCAGGCCTGTCATAAGCATTACAATGACCTAATGTATTATGACCTAATACATTTACTTGAGTCACTATTTACAGATATTGTACTTTCTTCCCACTGTGAAAATACCAGACATGAGTACTATTTCATGTCTTATCCTCACTACTGCATTAACTTTAAATGACAAATCAGGTGTTTCGTCCAGTTACTTTTAATTTAAGTTACTTGAGGAGTAGTTTCCCCAAACACTTTTAGCAACTTAACACATTTTTTGACTTGCACATTTTACTTAGACTTGAGAAATATTTTATTTGAAGTAACGTTACTCTTAATTTTGTACAATTTGTGGCTATTTTACCCAATTTTGACGGACATCAGTGACAGCAACACTGACTCTCACGGGTTAGTTAGCTTACTACTACTAGCATTAGGCCAAACATACTTAGTATTTTTTATGAACTAAATTAACTGGAGAGTGTCCTAAAAAGGTAAAGTAATCTGACCCGTGGCATGTGAGAGCTCAGGTGGTTGGACTTGAGGCTTGTTGAGTTCAAGTTCTGCTGAAAAACAAACACTATTAGCTGTTAGCTTTGCGCTAACACTGATGTAGTGTAATATTCAAAATAGACACTTTCTAAGTGTTAAACGTTAACACTGTGACTCAACAACTACTTACTTTACTCTTACAGCACTGTCATAGTTGAAATAACTCTTTATTATGTTGAAACATATCTGGATTTTCTTCATTTTACTCACAACACCAACACCGTGAATTTAACACTTTTGAATTTGCTGTGTACTTTCTTCCACTGTGAGCAAAACTACAAATGACAAAAGATTTATGTTGACAATCTTAAATGATTTGAATATTTGTGTTTCTTGCAGCACTCCTTCAGATATGATTTAGTTTGTCTCATTTTGGTTTCTCCATCTTTGAAAATACCAGCTCTTGATCTAGTACTTGACTAGTTTTCTCAAATACTTTTTACTCTTGAGTAATGTATTGGACTACTACTTTAATATTGCAAAGAAACATAACTGAAAGTGCATGTATTCTTACTGTGAGTGAAGACGTGAAAGAGTTTAACACCAGCCCTCTCTCGTCGTTAGTGTTAATGCACCCAGTGTTTAATGCCAGCAGGGGGCGCTACAGGTCCTCACGTATGCATAGAATGGGTATACTTTCCTAGAAATACAAAACAACAACAAAAAATGTAAATTGGTCAGTAATTATATGATAATGCCACATTAGTCAGGGAACCATATCATTCAGTAATTAACTTTGTAGAACTACTGCTTTGTTAAAACTGATAGTACTTTCTGTTGAGCTGTATTTAACTCATGGATACCGTTGGTTAAGGTGTGGTGAGGTGGTTCCTCTGCGGTGGTCTGATCCCTGCTGCTTCTTATTTCCCTACACTGTTCAGTTGAATAACACAGAGGGCAATGGGTTCCTAAGTTTGATTGTGTTCTAATGTGAATGAATGACTTGGATGGCCTCGGACGGCTTTATCCTCCCTCTTTATGTGGAAATGTAGATCCCATTTGATTTGGGAGATGGTTATGATGGAGCGCAGAGTGGATAGAGCTGCTCATTATTCAGAGTGCAAGAACACACACACACTCCTGTATTATAGGATCCAAATTGACGCCACTTCATTATTCAGAGCACCTAGGCTTGATTAGCAAATGCAAACAGCGCCTGGATGTCCTGCTAATTTGTATTGGCTGTTTTGGGATTCTACACTGTGCTGATACTGCTTTCTCAGATAAAATGCAGATACAGCTATAGCTTTATTGGTTATGTAAAGCATCAAACTAGTCTGTATATACTGTCTATTTTAGCTAAATACAGTAATCATTGAAATATCAAGCATCAAACAGTGCAGAATAACAGGCTGCAACTCACTGCACCTAGCCTATTTACACTAAACAAAATTATGAAAGAAAGGTTAGTTGTTTAGTTATAGTTACTAGTAGCCTAATATAACCACATATCTATACTCTAGTTGTTGTTAGGCCTATTCTACACTAAAGCTAATCTACGTTCAGTGTAACTCTAATTATAGGTTAATTGAAAATGTCACCAATGCCTGAAGTCATGAATTAAAACAAACTGTGGGCGTGTGGAAGTCGTGCGCTCGTTTACGCATGCGCCAAACCTAACCCGGAGTTTGGTGTGTACATTGTGCAGAGTCCACGTTCTGCACACCCCTCCCTCTCTCTCTTCTGCTCCTGTGCGCAAAAGACATCCCCAAAACAAGTGAACCAAGCTGGAAAGAAAGACTGACCAACTGTGGTTTTAGGACATAAACTATATTATTTCGCTAGCGCATTTGTCAAGATAACTTTGCCTGGAATCTTCCAAATAAAGAAGTAGACCAGCGTAAAGGGCGAGAGGCGGAAACAGTTCGGATCACTTTAGCGCACTAGGGTAAGTACGCATCCTGCATCACACAGCAGCATATGCTAGTGAAAAACTTAATTTAAAAAGTGCAGTGTCTCAAAAAACATAATTTATTGTAGTCTGCAGCTGATATAGAGCTAATGAAACAACGTAACGTGTTACAAAAGAAAATATAATTCTGTTAGTTAGCGATACAATCACCTATGAGAAATCTATGCAAGTGTCTTATGGCACTATTGTTGTAGAAGCCAACATTGAGAAATGCACTGGTTACATACATTACACTTATTTAACAACAATCAGGAAATAGCCTTTTCAGACAGGTGATTTTAGTGGTTAAACAAACATTATTTAGATTTCAATACATGTACAAAACACAACATGTATGTTCTATTATATTAAAGGTCTTGTATTACACAAATTTGAGTCTTCTGAGTTTTACGCCATTTATAATGTTGTTACCTCCTCAAAAACATACTCGTAGTTTTTTTTTTTTTTTTTGTTGTTGTTTTTTTTTGTTTCATTCATCTCCAAAGCTTAAAAGGCTGTGTGCCATGAAGATAATGTCATGAAGTGGTAGTTTTCAAGCTTACAGCTCCGTTTACCTTTAGTTCAGTAGAGATTGGTAATTCCAGGGCTGGTATCATCCAAATGACTTTAGTGAAAGTGTATGGAGTTTAAAAACACTGAGGAGCACTTCTGTATTACCACATGACATCACAAGGTGAAACAGAAGGTTTTCTGTCTGAGAGACAAACTCAGCCTAAATATGCAGGGTTCATGTGTACATGTGTCAATGAAACATAACAACTCCAGGTATGTTTTTGATGAGGAAACTACATTATAACATAGATCAGAAAATAGCACAATATAGGTCCTTTTAAATGAAGTTCCCTGCAACACTGCTCCTGTCTGTTTGCCATAGGTTAATTATGAATTAGCTAAAATTGTAAACATAGTGACTTAGCATTCACCATTTAAAACAGTATTTTTGTATTATTATAATTTTTTACTCTAAATTAAATGAAATTTAGTTCTTCAACAACTAAGATTACTTACTTACAGCTCATGTAATTTCATTAACACTCAACCCCCAGGGCTTCAGTATTCCTTGCTCATTATGCATGTGTTGTTCCTGTGTGGGGTCTAATAGGCGAGCAGATGTGACAGCTGCCTGCTTAATCAATAGTGGTGGTCGTTTGCCAGTCGCACTGTCTCAGAGTAACAGAGCTCATTGTCCCAGCTCACCAGCCTGGCTCCTCCATTCACTGTATTTGTTTGACTGCAGATAATGCCATACGTCATAAAGGAGCTGACCTGAGGCTTATCTGGGCTCCTCTTGTCACCGATGATGCTGTGATGTGACGTGATATTGTACATGGAGCAGGTGGAGGTGGTATCAGGGCCATCTCATGTAGCTGCGCACAGTGACAGAGCAGATAAAGGCGCTGACAATAGGACAAGCAGCAAGTAATTACTCTCTACATGCATCCAGATGTACAAGATAGTGCATCCTGGTTTGTCTCACACAGGATGTGAGTTAATTAAAAAGGCCTGGAGGAGAAGTCTGCAGTGGTGTAAATGTAGCCTATACATTCACACATGTGAAAATACAGCAGGAGCCATGAGAATGACAGCTTGACCAAATTTGGCATTTTGTAATAATTGTATCAATTTAAGTCAGTAATATGTAAAACATCAAATGAAATATACAAATAGGAATTTTTCAGCAATAGTTTAAATTAGTGATGCACTGATCCATTCCACTAGGCTTTAAGAGTCTGTTGATATCAGTGCAGGGACTAAAAACTGACTTTATTAACAAATTATATTGTATGAAAAATATGTTATTTACAAAATTATAACTACACACTAATTAATTACACAACAACTTTGTATTAAAACCTCTTTCTGGACCAACTATGACCAGTAAATACTGTTGATACTGTTGAACCAGGATATTGGCAGAAGCTATATTCTGGAGCTGATAGGTGATTTTCATGGATCGGACCGCTGTTTGATTTCTGTATTGGTATTGATGCATCCCTAGTTGAAATTAGGGATTTAACAATAACTAAAATATTTTGATATCATATCGTCAAAGGTCTTAGAATAATATTGTATGCCGCAAAAACATATCAAATTACAAACCTCTTTGCTTAAATGTACTGTTTTGTTGCAGCATCGGCTAAAAACTGTGAGAACTACATAGACCATGACCCTTTTCTCCTTTGAGGCAGACAATGTGGATAAATACCTGTTATTAAGCACTTTAATGTCTTAATTCTTTGGAATAAGACAGTAATGGTATCCCCAAAGGCTTACCAGGGTATTTTAAAAGGAAAAAGAAACAGTTCCACAATTCTGTTAGCCTCTCTAACTTACCAAATTAAATATCATACCATGAGACCCATTTTGTGATAATATCATATTGTGGCATTTTAGGGGTGTTAAAACAGTTAACAAAGGTCTTTTCCTTCACAGCTGAAACCTATTGTCTATACCTCTTTCCTCACATATATTCAATGTCTCCCACAGAGATACCTACATGTTTCCCTACAAAGCTCTAAGAATAGTTTTGTCTGCTTTTCTGAACACTCCTCTATTGTAGTTTGAAATACTACCAGCGTTTGTTTGCACGTTTCTCACATTTTCGCCTGTAACATGTTTAGGAGGAAGCGCAACATATAGCTGCAACAACAGAATTTTGCAACTTGACTGAGCGAAATACTTTGAACAAAAACAGAATTTGAATCTTCATCTTAATGAGTTTCTTATTTGGCCATGAGCTGCTCTGTAAACATAGCGAGCATGTGACAAGTTTTACCCAAGGCTTAAGTAAATCTGAGGGAAAGTCAGAGGGAATGGAGTTTTGAGAGAGAAGATCATTGCTATGACACCCAGTATTTGCTCAGAACTTGCAAGACATGTGACTCAGGATTGTTCAGCTAATGTTGAGACAGATTAGGACCTGCTTTTACTTAATCGTTGGACTTGCAATTCCTCAAAGACACAGTGAGCATAGTTGTGAAAGTGCTCTCTTTATTGCCTCTTGTTGCAACATTAACCATCATGCAAGTCTCTGCAAAAGAAGATGCTACAATGAAATAGTTGAAATTTGTCAAGCTCAAGGCGTTGAGGCAGAAATATAATGTCATACCCAGTGGTGGCACATAATGAAGTAAAAGCAGTAAAGTACTGGACTGTGAAGTAGACCTGCTGAAAATGCTGGGAGATTATTTTGAACACATTTGTATTTTGAGCAAACAAATACACAAATAAAAACAACATTCAGTTGTTTCTGTTGAAAAGAAATCTGCAGAAATCTTTATCAAAATCACTAAATTTGAAACTTTATAAGACCTAAAAATCTGCACAAAATACTTACTTTTTACTCTTTAAGTACATTTTTATACAGGTGCTTTAATACTTTTACTTACTTACTTGCTCCTTTATCTGTACTTCTACGTAAGTAACAAAATTTCGTACTTCTTCCACCACTGGTCATAACCTTTTGAGGCTTAGGAGACAACAAGAAACACTAGGCAAGATAGCTATAGCTACATGAGATCAGTTTTACTTACACAAATGCAGTGTTTACAATTAACAAAATTGGGACGATTCAATAGTTGATTTTATTGGCATTAATCTTTCAGCCCTAATATTATTTCCTTGGGCGATAATCCAGAAACATTTAAATCTGTATACTTTCACTTTACTTAGCACTTAAATTGCCTATCTCAACTCTGAAGCCAGCAGTTTTGTTTTTGGCATCATTTTAATGCCCTTCACTAGTTCACCACAACCCATTGGTCTGCTCACTTTCTTTATACGTATGCCCAATATAGACTGTAACATGTTAAAGGGACAGTCTGGAATTTTCTACATTGGACCTCGTTTTCTAGTGAGCCAGAGTGTTGGAGACGTGTAGAGACACTTTTTTAAATATTCCATCCAGTCCTTGTATTTGCAGACGTTGCTGGCCCACTCCACAAAACACCTGAGGCAAAACAAATATAACAGTGTCAATGTAAATGTCTGTGTTGATAGAATAATTTTAGAATTTTAGGATTTATGTCTGAGCAGCAGCACCGAGTTCTGCTTCCTGATAGAAAGCTCAGCAGCGGCAAACTGATATCACCACAGTAAAAACCCACTGCTGCTGAGAAAACAGTCCCTCAACTTGCGAAGATTCATGCAATGTAAGGTTCTTTCAAACATTATTCAATCAAAACAGACATTTACATCGATAGTCTGGTGTAATAATAGATTTGCTTTGGGTGTTTTGTGGAGCGGGTAAGACTGTTTTTAGTGGCAGGGTAACTATGGACATTGACATGCACTAGCCTAGCACCAGCGACCTCTGCAAATACAAAAATACAAGAACTGGATGGAATATTTTAAAAAGTGTCTCCACATGTCTCCAACATTGGCTAACTAGGAAATGAGGTCCTATGTCAAAAATTCTGTACTTTCCCTGTCTCAAAATGTCTCAAAAAAAAAAAAAAAAAAAAAGTTGGAAAGTACCAGATATTACTTGGCCTTTTATTTTTTCAGCCTGTGTGACAATGAATGCATTAATGCAATATTTGTTTTGGATCGCATTGAATCATTACAAAGACCTCAATTGGTTTTGTGGTCTGGCCCTGCTGTGCCCGCTGTAACACTATCTCCTAAATGTCAGTCCCAGCTAACACTTCACGTCTCTGCGTCTCCAGCCCCTGGCTGTGGCCTGATAGATAGATATCTCACTCTCAACTGCTTCATCTGGACAGTTAAAAGCCCGGCGTACTGACTGGCCTGCCCGCTAATGGCCTTGTGTGGCAGCTGGGGCCCGGTTGCCGAGGAGACAGCTCAGGGGCGGGGCTTTTGTGTGTCTGAGAGGATAGAGCAGGCTTTTAGGTGCACTCTCGCCTTCACACCCACAGACTGCAGCCTGAATGAGAGATGCTGCCAGGTCTAATGAGGTTTATAGTGATACTTGCCCCAGGAGAAGTTGGGCTCATGTGAATGGTGATCGGACAGACAGATGGTGCAGCTTTGTTTGTCTGTGTCTGTTTAGTGGCACAGTCTGTATGGATTTTGAATTGTATTGAACTGAACTGATAAATAATTAATCTTAAAAAAAAAAGTGCTCATTCTGGAGGTGTCTAAGGGACCTCTCCACAGAGCTGAACTGTAACTTGGTCTAGTGCTGTCACCTTCTTGTCTGTAATGGAGATAGATCAGTAGTAGAATTATGTGATAGATTTAATGCTATACTGTGGATCATTCCAGGCAAAGCAAAAACACCTCCATGAAGACAAGCAGATTTAAGCCCTCCATCAGAAAGGTTACTAACATACTTTAAAAAAAAAAAAAAAAAAAAGAATGAAAAATCACAACATTAGCTGTTCTGTCTTATTTAGCTTTCTTATATTTTGCATTTGTCCCCAGTCTACCTCCAATCAGAAAATAGATCTACAACCTTTTTTTTTTTTTTCTCTCATTTCTGAATTATACTTACTGATGAATTAATTGTTTACTACTATTGTAAATGAATAATTTTGATGCCTAACTTTGCGCACTAATAATTGGATGAAGGTTTATGATTTATAGGCATCTCACTGTACCTCTAAACCTTGTGGTGGCTCTTAGACACACTCAATTTTTAGTGACTGCTAACATTAGTAGCTCTATGACATTTTCATTTTGTAAAGGTAGCTCACCAGAGGAAAAAGGTTGGAGACCTCTGTAATATAACATGGTCTTGATTGAGTCTAGTCAATAATTGAAAGGATCAGGTTCCATATTTGGGAATTTACCTTTCATTTTCATTTCATTTTCAAACTTGCCTCCATCTGGAAATATGACATAATCACTTTCTGCAATCTGACAACTACCAATTAAAAGCCACTGTATCACTTTTCAGTTACATATATGCATTTAGTGTAAAATAGACTAAAATAAAAGCCTTTTTTATGCATCCTTACTCTGAGTGGGCTTGCATCTCCACAAGCCTGACTCTTTTTTGACCTGCCATCTTTCTCCACGGAGAATGTTCCCGTCATGTAGGTGGCTTGCCATCTCCAGAAAGTTGCATACAGTGCCTTTAAAAAAAAAAAAAAAAAAAAACTTCATATATAACTTCAACATCAACCTTTTTAATCACTTTTTTTTTTTTTTTTCTAGATGGCGTCCAGTGACTCGAGGCTCCAGCAGCAGCCCTCACAGAAAGATGCAGCCGATCAGAACTTTGACTACATGTTCAAACTGCTCATCATCGGGAACAGCAGCGTGGGCAAGACCTCTTTCCTGTTCCGATACGCAGACGACTCCTTCACCTCAGCCTTCGTCAGCACCGTGGGCATCGACTTCAAGGTCAAGACCGTGTTCCGCCAGGACAAGAGAATCAAACTACAGATCTGGGTGAGTGGATTTTAGCAGGTTTGTACAGTGGAAATTGGTAACGGAAGCTTGGAACGCTCGTAGCTTCATTGGCACTCCCAGTCAGTCAACATTTGGACAGATCAGAGGAAGGCAGTGAGCATAGCTATTGTGAAACATTCAGACTGTAGAGTTGTAAAAGTAGGAGTTCCTCATAGTTTGTTCGCATTTGTACTATCTGAGATCTAAAAGGTACATGTGCGTAATTATTAAAGTTCCTATATTATACAAATTTGATTCTTGTGAGCCATGCTAGAATGCTGTTACATCCTCAAAAACATACCTGAAGTTGCGTTTTGTTTCATTCGTATGTTTGAGTAATTCTTTTATTATTAGTCTGTCTACATCTTCAAAGGTCAAAATGCGCTGTCCCAATTTGTGATGTCATGCAGTGGTAGTTATCGAATTAACCATCACCTTTTATTTTTAGTTCAGTAGACATTGTCATTTCCAGGGCTGAAATTATCAAAATGATTCTACTGCATGGAGTTTAAAATTGCTGTGGAGCACTTCCTGTATTGCTACATGACATCACAAGGTGGAACAGAGTGTTTTCAGTTTGAGAGAAGAATTCAGCCTCAGAATTATAACATAGACAAGAAAATAGCATAAATGGGCCCTTTAAGTTGTCATCAGCTGTTGGGACATTGTTGAATTTGAGTCATACCTTTTCCAGTTCTCCTCTATGCATGTTTGATGAGGAGGTTAGGTTTGTTGTCAATAAGGGTGGATGATGTTGACAAAAAATTGTATTTCTTGGTCTTGGGCTTTCAGTGATTATAGCCTATAGACTTGTTTAATTTTGAATTTTAATTTTAATAAGATCTTTTTCTTTTTATAAAAAAAGCATACATTTGTGACATGATAGGGGTTAAATCTAGCTTGATTCATCAGCCGGTTTCACTTCGTGGAAACCATCTGACCTCAGCAGCATTAGGATTTTTTTGCCCACTGCTATTTGGTTGTGACGTATGTAATGCGCCGCAAACGGGGTAACTGGTATATTAAGCTTTTCCCAAATCCCATAGGAAGAAGAGCAATAATGTCTTTTCCCTTAATAAATTCACCAAACATTCTCTTTTTTCCTCTTTCACGGGTTTTAGCGAACCGTCTAGTGTATTCCAATTCCTGACCTAGTTGCTGGAGAGAAATGAAATTGAGCGGAGGCACTAGGTGGTGCCAACCAGGCTACCACTTTGGCACCTAAACGGCTGATGTCAAACTTGTCCTGAAATGGCTCAAAGGCATTATGTCTCAGAACAGTAAAAAAAATTCAATGACTCAAAATGCTCAGGTCCGACATTTTATCTCATTAGGTGGTCTACTCACTCTGCTCTATGTCCACACAATTTCACTATTTTTGTTCAGATAATTTAATTACTTAAATTGCCTGTACATTTTTTTTACACGTTTAAACATCATAGTATGTTGAAACTTTAGGAGATGTTTGTCTACTCCTCCATTTCAGTATGTGCATTTGCCCTCGGAGCAGATCTTATCACTCTGGTGGTGGAGTGGACATGGCAGCTGGTGCAGTGTTTGCTAACACAAACACAGACCCAGCTCTGCACACTATTCTCAAACATTAGCTTCAGGTGCTCAGAGGGGGTCATGTTAGGCCACAGCATCAGCAGCTCTGTACTTATCATTACTAGTTTAATGAGATCACGTTAATGACTCTCTCTTTCCAGACCTATGGAATTGAGTTATGTGACAAGCTAATTATTATGGGTACGCTCTGTGCTACCACTTTACGTAGTCTAATATCTTCAAGCAAATTCTTTATGTTGGAATATACAATCATTTCAAAACATTTCTGGATCACTAATGATAATACCATATCTGTCATTTTACTTGTATCAAACATTGTAAACCATTGGAGTAGTGAATGGTCATACTCTTCACCATAACACAGCCTGTACATGGTCATAATTCATCACTATAAACATTTGAAGCTGACATTGTCTAAATAGTTTTGCTTACAACTTCCAAAAATATAGTAGAGTTGTTAAAGTAGACCTGTTATGCAAAATTGACTTCTTAGAGCCTGTTATTGTTGTCACCTCTCACCATTTACTCACCTGAAGCTGTATTTGGAGTGATTCGAGCATGTTTGCGCATCTTAAATCGCTTATTTTCAGAACTGCATATTGCCGATCAATCCCCGTTTTCACCGCCACTGCTCTCTACGTCGCTCTCCAATTTTATGTTTTTTAATTCATGATACGCATAGGATTTGACAGCTCTGTGTAATAATTTTAGAACAAATAAAAAAAAAAAATCCACTGCTTGCTATTGTGATCTGCATCTAGACACCAGCTCTGTTGTGATGACGTTTCCAGCGAAAGTTGTTTTACATGATTGTAGTGATTTAAAATGTGCAAAATATAAGATAATGATAAAAATTAAAGATTCAAATAAAGATTAAAAATATCAAAACCCAGATTGTGCTGTCCTCACGACACGCTACTATATGACGCTAGACAGACAGTTGTTTTTTATGATCACCGTGGTATTGAAATCAAGATTTTTCCTTAGTATTGAAACTGAGTTTGACATTTCAGTATCAAGACAACACTACAACATATCCCATACTGTAACTTAAGTCGTATACAAACCAGTGCTGTCCGCAACACAAGCTCTGCTCAAAATCTGACCAAACTAATCCCTCTAATATCATATTCCAGGAGATGTCTGTTTAACTTTCCACAGCACATTTCCTATAGCTCACAGACAGTATCTCTCCACTTATGCTTGGTTGTTCAAACAGGTGATTCACTTGAGCCAACACTGCACAAGCCAATGAGTGATGTACAAATGTGTGAATCATAGGTCCACACCTAAACAAACCTCCTGTATACACCACCTGATCAGACCTGTCACTGCAGTACACACACACTATCAGGACAGCTGATATATGACCCACCGTGAGATTAGGGAAATACTGAACAGTAGCATTTGCATTGGTGAGGCATTAATCAAATCAAAATGATCAATTAACAAAACAACTGGCATATAATGTAAATCTAAATTACAGAGTTAGCAGTTTTTATGCAGAATAAGGAAATCATCATCATACTTAAGAAAATTGCAGCCTTTGCGATTTGCTAATTGCATCCATTCAAATTTCAATTGTAATTAATCTTGCAGCCCTATAAAGTATGTTTTAAAACAGCCGAAAGCTTACTGAAGTGCAGAAGAGAGCATAATACAGAAGAGCTAGTTAAAGGTCCTATATTAGGCAAAATGTACTTTTGTGAGCGACATGTTAAAATGTTGTTACCTCATCAAAAACATACCAGAAGTTGTGTTTTGAAGGTGCGATGTTTAAAAACACAGTGGAGCACTGTATTACCACATGACATCACAAGGTGGAACAGAGAATAACATGTGTGAATGAAACAAAATAAAACACCAGGTATGTTTTGACGAGGAGATAATATTATAACACAGAAAACACAGAAAATAGCGTAATATAGGCCCTTTAAACTATATGTGGGGCAAGTTTATTTGTATATCACATTTTGTACCCAGGTGCTCAAGTACAGCGCAGGTAAAGAAGAATACTTAAACTGTGACTTTTAGGATTTGTCCAGACACCTCAGACTTCCCACAAAAGTTCAAATCTAATGCAATCGGCTTCTGTAACAACATGTTCAAATGTGATTTGAACATTGTACATTGCATCCCTTCTTGTAATAAAGGCTAGCTAGGGCCTGATAGAGCAGCTAATGCTGATTGATGACTAAGAAAGTTGGCATTTCCTCGAATCTAAAAGCAGAGGAAATCCCTATCAACAGCTGGCCCCCACAATGCAGTTCCACAGTATTCAAAGGCTGTGTGCGCCTTCTAGACACCATGTTAATAATCTACTCTGCTCTATATAGTGTCCAAACACATCCCAGGATATGAGAGGGGCATAACTAATGAGTTTGGGAATGAGACAGAGGGCGAGGGGGAGGAGAAGACCGGCCCTAGAGGCACCCTTACCATTCAGAATAGAATTAAATGAATTGTTTTGTCATTCATTTGCGCATTAACGGTAATGACGACTCAAATTGCTCTGCTCTAGGTGGTACCCGTGCTTGTTTAGTCTTGGTCTTTAAAGGTCCTATATTACACAAACCTGACTCACATGAGCTTTAAGCCATGTTATAATGCTGTTACCACATCAGAAACATTTGTGTTTTGTTTCATTCTCACATATTTGAGTAATCCTTTATTATTAATCTGTCTACATCTCCAACGCTCAAAATACACTGTTCCTCCTTGTGATGTCACGAAGTTCTAGTTTTCAAGTTAAGAGCTACAGTACTTTTTACCTTTAGTTCAGTAGAGATTGGTAATTCCAGAGCTGAAATGATCCAGGTGATTCTACTGTATGGAGTTTAAAAATACAGAGGAGCACTTCCTGTATTACCACATGACATCACAAGATAGAACAGAGTGTTTTCTGTTTGAGAGAAGAACTCAGCCTAAATATGCAGATTTATGTGTTAAACATTTGTGAAAGTAAACAAAACTCCAGGTATGTTTTTGATGAGGAAACAACATTATAACAGAAATCAGAAAGCTGCGTAATATTTGCCCTTTAAACTTGTTTTAGTCTGACTGTCTGGTCAGCATCCTGGTTCGCCACTGGTCTGTTGTCTCATTTTAGTACACTATCAACGCTGCTTATGTGTCAAGAAATGATCTATTGTGTTTGAAGAGGCTGAACACTGTCCTCCTACAGACATAAATGTAATGTATTGTCAGGGGATAAACGGTCCGTGTTTTAAAATAGACCCAGGTGAGTGACGCATGTTTAAAGACCAAGCCTGGGCTGCTGACATCAGAGCCACTGACCACTGGGGACAGAGACGCACTACTATGAATAATACTCTTCCACTTCATTAGAGAGTTCTTGTCCTGTGCCTCTTCTGCAAATAGCCATACCAAAATATGTCATAAATGAGTAAGGCTTTATTTTCAGCAAATGCTATTAAAAAGTATTAGTGGTTTTGGGTGGATTGTTGCCAGAATGGTAGTTCAGAGAAGTTCCTGATTTGGGCCTCACAGCAGCTGGGACCGTAATGGAACATTCATGAGCACGGATAGAACCGTTACCTAGACACCCCTACACCCCTCCCATCCTTCATCCCTCTCTCCCTCTCGCTTTCTAAGAAAATGGGGGGTACATTTACATGGCCATAAAAATCAGTGCATTTACATACCCAGGAGAAATCTGATCATCCAAAACACCAGGGAACATGTTACACTTTTTAGAATACAAAACTTTCTCTTTTATTTTTTATCTTTGACATATTAGTCGCCATTTTCTGCATAATTTTACTTGTCAGAATCTGCTAAATTGTGAATAAGAGAGAAATCAGATTACTCATATCAGATATAACTGTGTAGATGCTATTTCAATAATCTGACAACAACAAGTAAACAAGAGGAGATCACACTTTGTAAGCAACTATCTGGACGTTCTCCCTAATCTTCCCTATATCCTGGTTTTAAATTACAGGAGGCACTGGCTTCATGACAACACAATAAACAAGAATACTTTAGAAAATGTATTTAGTTACAGAATACTGAATACATGCAATAAAATGTATTCTGCAATGTATTCTGATAATGGTCCAATCAGGGTATTATTGTAGTAGTATAGTATTATGCATTTACATCAAGGTGCATTTTAATTATAGTGTAAAACTGGAATATAGTTCATCAAAATGTGTATTCTGAACATGTATTTTCGGTGCATGTGTTCACTTACTTCCTAACCCTGACAATAAACCAGTTACATGTGAAGTCAGACATCTCAGTGCGTATCCAAAGGCCATCTGGAGGCAGATAGGTGGAGGCGCAGGTGGCATTTTCATATCTCTTTGAAAGGTGGTGAAAAGAAGATAAGGTATATTATCAGAACATATTAATTAGCGTGACAGCCAGAAATGGTTTGATTCTATAATTCAGTTTGTTGGTTTGTTTGTTTTTTTAATAAGAACCACTGACATTTCATTCCTAGACCTGACAAGATTTATCCTACCGTGCCAAATACAGTATATCCTTATCATTGAGGGATGTCTGTGGAAAGAGAGAATAGACTGTCTTTGTTGTTGCTGCCTCCTGGTGGTGAACTGGCTTTTTACAAAACATAAATTGTGTTTTCAGGATACAGCGGGACAGGAGCGTTACCGCACCATCACCACAGCGTACTACAGAGGGGCTATGGGCTTCCTCCTCATGTACGACATCACCAACCAGGACTCCTTCAACGCTGTGCAGGACTGGTAAGAAAACAAAACTCAAATCTTTTTATAAATATCTGCTGGCTGTGTTTCTTTTACTCATTTACTCAACATGCATTTTAAGGTGCATTATGTAACTTTTCTCCCCTGGAAAGTTCCATGGTGACGAGCAGATGATGCACCAGGCCAAGTTACAGGTCAAATCTGTGGAGAGATGACCCCTGTTCACAATGCCATGGGACATTCTAGGCAAAGCAATCACATCTCCATGGAAACAAGAACAAGAACAAAAACTGCAGACCATCCACCAGAAAAGTTACATAGTGCACCTTTAAACACATGTCATAAACATCAAAGAATGTGATATAAAAAATGTGTTTCAAATGCAGATAGTACAAGTATTGATATTAATTTCAATTTCAAATCAATTTATAAAGGTGTATTATGTCAAGCAGGTGTCAGACACTCCATCAGAGAAGTTATATACTGCACCTAAAAATACAGAAGAAACGGAACAAATGCATTATGAGCTACTTGTTTGTGTGTTTGTTTCAGGGCAACTCAGATTAAGACGTACTCGTGGGACAATGCGCAGGTGATCCTTGTGGGGAATAAGTGTGATTTAGAAGACGACAGGCTCATCCCAACAGAGGACGGGCAGCGGTTAGCAGAGGACTTAGGTAAATACTCAACACCATTTCAACCACAAGTGGTTTAAAATACACAGAATATTCAGAAGCTCAATAGTCCAACAGTGAGGAGACATGCAAAGCAACTAATTATAAATACTCTGTAACTGAGTAGATTTTTTTTGTTTGTACTTTTAATTGAGCATGCCTAGTAATTGTAATTACCTACATTTAAAATTGTAATTAGGTAATAAGTAAGTAATAATAATAAGTAATAGTAGGTTTTTCCCCAGTGCATGGTACCATTCACAGAGGTGGGACCAAGTCATTGTTTTGCGAGTCTCAAGTAAGTCTCAAGTCTTTGACCTCAAGTCCGAGTTAAGTCCCAAGTCAAATACAGGCAAGTCCAATTCGAGTCTCGAGTCACTGGCCCATAAGTCCAAGTCAAGTTCAAGTCATCTGCTTTGAGCTTAAACCAAGTACCAAATATTGCTTTGGTTTCAAGTCCAAGTTGAGTTCCAGGTCTTAGTCTATTCTAGTCTAGTCTATAGTTGAGTTCAAGTCATGACTTGCAAGTCCCCACCTCTGCCTTTCTATAAAGACAAATACACAAAATGGTATTGTGTCCAGAACTGTAAGACAATGCCAAATGAGATGGAAATCAAGTTATTCTGCAATTACACTGTTTCATTAATAGTGTTTTGTGCAAAGATTGATTTAAAATGATTAAAAAAAAAAACGTTTTTGTGTAGTATGTCTACTCGATTCTTTAAGGTCTGTGTGTTTTGTTTGTTCTGTTTTGTAATAATTTGGTATAAAAAATGCATCTTAAAATATTACTTGTGTACAAAAGAAATAATCATTTGACTTGTTGACAAATAAAAAAAAAAAAAATCACCTACTAATGGACTATTTAACTAAAATAATTTGTAGCTGCAGCCCTATGCATGAATCTGAAATTACATTGCAACACTTATGAGTGTGTTTTCAACTGGATATTTTCCCCAAATTGTTCAAGAGATTACTTTTATATAAAATAGTCAAATAAAGACCTGATAGGTATGATATATTAAATCTTCTCTATTAAACTTATTTGAATATAAATGCTTTACAGGTTTTCAGTTCTTCGAGGCCAGTGCCAAAGACAACATCAACGTAAAGCAGGTGTTTGAGCGGCTAGTGGACGTCATCTGTGACAAGATGAACGAGAGCATGGACGGAGACATGAATCTTATGTCCAACCACAGAACCCAAAACCTGAAGGACATGTCCTCGGAGAACCAGGGCGGCTGCTCCTGTTAGGGTCCCTGGGTACTCTGGGATACCATGTGGAGCCCAAACCGTCCTGTGTGCCTCTGATGCCAACCACTCCCCCTGGACCAGACCAGACTGTAGTGCTCTTCACCAATCATGGCATCCTTATTATAATCTTTTGTAATATAGGTAACTATTGGTAACCATATAGTTGCAGTTCTCCAGTAGTGATCTTGCCTTGGAGTTTTTTCAGAATGGAGCTTGTGCTGGGTTGCCTGGCAAATCTAGAATAATGTCTCTCTGTATTTTTTATATAGATTGATATCAGTCTGGTCCCCCCCAAACGTGATCGTACAATCAGTTTATTTTTTTTCAGTGATGCATGTGAAACAAAGAAGCTCACTGGTCACCTTTGATTTACAAATAAATCTAATTTATCTCACCTCAGATTAACAGAGTTTAGTGCTTCGCTCATTCATTCTACAGAAATCTGTGATGTTTTTCACCCCTCTGTGATATTTTTGTCCTTTATTTTTCCTAATACGGATGGACCACGCGTGTCCCCGATTGGCTAATCCACCTGTCAGTCACACCCATTTTAAAACGGGGAGATTCATCGGTGACCAGACTCACATCTTCGTAAGGTATTGAAGAAGTGTGTATTCTGGTTCCAGGCAATGTGCACAAAATTGAAAACTCTTTAAACACACTAAAACCAACAATAAATCTTTTAGGGTTAACGACAAATGGAGAAAATCTTTTTTTTTTTTAACAAAAAAAATTTCTATATTCTCATCCAAGTTACTGTGTGTTTTTATTGCCTGACCTGGGTTATAATTATGATTTATGATAGACAATATTTATTTGAACAACCTAAGCCTCAATCCTTTTTCATATAATTTTATACTGGGAATTCATTCAGCTTCAACAACTATGACTACTTAAAGGGCCCATATTATGCTATTTTGTGATCTGTTATAATGCTGTTGTTTGCTCATAAAAAATATACCTAATATAGGACCTTTAATCATTCTCAACAGTTGGCCCATTAGTCACTTTGTTCTTTGATAGGTTTTTATGCCGAATTACTGTCCACTCCTTTTCCAATTTGTGTAGCATGTGTATAACCTTAGTTCGAATATCCTCAAATATCAAAATGCAGCTCATGTTTGTCTCCCAGTAGTACTAATGAGAAAATGGATTGCATGACAAATCTGTACTTGCTATGAGATAAATGACATTCTGGTCTTTGAATAGTCACTTTTTAAAACTATAACTAAACTATATTGTGCTCATTATTTATGAAACTTTGTGAATATTTTTGGAATGTAATTTTAAGTATTAAAGTCCATCTGCAACGGTGCATGGCAAATCAAGAAGCCAAGTGATTCTTTGTATACTCTCCAGTGCCTTTTTCACTCGCATGCTGGTAACAGATTGTCAGTTAGTGTGAACCACAACAGCGATCCCACTTAACTTCTCATGGTCATTCACCACTCCCTGATTTTGCTGTTCACTTATCTCACTGGTCACTACTGCTGCTAAACAGTGATAGTTCTAAGAATGTATTGCACATAGCATCTCACTTGGACCGGATGAACTCTGGTATAGTATCAGTCATTACACTAAATCATATCTAAAACACTGTGCATTTAGCCTGTGGAGTCAGCTGTGTTAAAAGATTTCTGTGAACCACTTGTACTTTTGTGTTATTGTGATTTATAAACTGTATTTTGGTTTGGGACTGTCGTAAGCGATAAAACTTTATGTTTTTAACGTAGGTTTTGAATGTGATTATTGTTTGAGGAAAATATCTATTGGATGGTAAATAAAATAAAAAATAAATATGAAATGCAGCTCTTTAGATTGCTGTATTTTTGTTTCAATTGTTAATGCTTTAAACGGTAATAGTACTTAATTCACATCATACATAATTTGTAAGTGCAGCGTTGTTTTTTCAAGTGTCTTCTTTCACAGGGACGGCATGGACATGATCAGATAACTTTGTAAGCTTGTGTGTCAAAAATACATTGTTCTATTTAAAGGGCCCTACGCTACTTTCAGATCTCGGCTATGATGTTGTTTCCTCATCACAAACAAACCTGGAGTTGGGTTTTGTTTTATTCACACATGTTTAACACACAAACCCTGCATATTTAGGCTGATTCTTCTCTCAAACAGAAAACACTCTGTTCCACCTTGTTCCACCTCCACTATGTTTTAAACTTCATACACTTTCACTAGAATCATTTGGATCATTTTAGCCCTGGAACTGCCCGTCTCTACTGAACTAAAGGTAAAAGGTATCTTAATAACCACAGCTGCGTGACATCTCAAAGTGGAACAAAACAGCTTTGGAGATCTAGATAGATTAAAAATAAAGGATTACTGTGAATGTAACAAAACGCAACTCCAGGAATGTTAGTGAAGAGGTAACAGTATTATAACATGGCTTAAAGTCAATTTTGCATAATATAGGACCTTTAAATCTGGCAACCTATCTGCCACCATGAATGCATTTGCTGGCTTTATGATATAAGATTTAAGTGAAACTGAAACCCACAGTAAGAAGATGTTGTCTAGTGGCACAGACCAACTGTCACACCATTCGCTTGTGGTGAACTTCACAAAAAAAGTAATTTATGGTTTTCCTGCTTCCTTTTGACACCACACCATTACGCCACATATTTATCTCCATCTCCAGAGAAACCACTACACCATTATCCTCCATCAATAAGGATTTCCCCATCTTCCCCTTCCTGTGAATGGCACTGCACATTCCTGACTATTCTAACCTGCAGAGCCGATATTACACTATTTTTTGTTTTATGTTATTATATTGTGTTTTGTTTAATAGATACATGTTTAACACACAAACCCTGCATATTTAGACTGAGCTCTTCTCTCAATCAGAAAACACTGTTCCACCATGTGACATCATGTGGTTAATACAAGAAGTGTTCCATTGTGTTTTTAAACTCCACACACTTTCACTAGAATCATTTGGATAATTTCAGCTGTGGAGTCTCTATTGAACACAAGGTAAAAGGTTGTTAACTTAACAAACTACTGCTTCATGACATCACAAGGTGGAAAAGAGCATTTTGAGCTTTGGAGATGTAGACAGACTAACAATAAATAGGTACTCAAACATGCGCGCATGAAACAAAACACAACTGCAGGTATGTTTTTGATAAATTTAGCGTAATATAGGGCCTTTAACAACACTTACACCGCTAATTATAAGAGCGTAGTAGTACTGCATGCTCCCTATAGTTTGTGCAGACAGTTTATAAAGTTCTAACTCCACACACAACCAATACGTTGATTTGGAACGGCTCTGTGCCATTCGCTGTGTAATGAAGAACTGCTATTGCATTTGAGGGGATGGGCTTCTACATCTCCTGTGTAGCTTATCATTCATGAAGAAACTTCACGCCTGCTGCTCTGATATGGTCAACCAAACGAAGAGTACATGCATGTGAGCGATAGAGATAAGAAACCGTTCTACTTCAGCCAGAGGTGCGCATACTATTTGTGGTTATTTATTTATAAACTTTGAATATTCGATCTGTGCATTTTGGTTTATTTGACTATTGCACACAACACGAAGTGCTAATTGATTTTGTCTCTATTTATTGATTTCTTTATCGACCTAACAACCCAAATAAACATTAAATCACAGATTAATAATGTCGTATATTGAACTGTGTGCCCTTGTTACGCGCGCCTTTACGCACAGAGCATCTTTGCGTGCGCCTTTACGTAGCAGCTACTTGACAACATCAATGAGCGAATGATTCCCGCCCATTTGCAGCGTACGTCCCAGTTAAACTTGTAAGTTGTAAACACCCCCGTAAGATCACCTTATCACCCCTCAACAGGCGCGAAAAAGAGTTATGCTATCCACAATATCTAAGCAAAAACAAACCTCCCCATACAGAAGCGGAGACACGCGCATCAACAGCAGCTCGGTGTCCAGTTATGCGGGAGAACAACGGACAAACTACACGTTTTTGTTCTCGAAAAGGAATAAACGATGACCCATGATTACTTAAGACGGCTGTTGGCAGTTCACGTTATACTGTGCACCATGGCCGGTGCGCACGTAGCCCAGGGAGCACGCGATTTCGAAAAGAAAGGTATGTTTTGAAAGTGCAACACATCTTGGGCTTATGGTGTCCAAAGTAAACTGTTGCATACTGCTGATTTATGTATTCAATTAGGCCTACAAAATGCTAGGTTGATTGAACTATTGGGCATCCAAACCATGCCTCTCACAATGCTTTGCGACAAGGTGGACACAAGATATTTCCTGATAGATGGATATCCAAGCTATTTTATCAGGTAGGCCTATTGTAATTTTAATTTAAATTAATAGATTTTAAATGGCAGAAAGTTACAGACTACATGAAATTGAGAAAAAAAGAGACATATAGTTAAAAAAAAAAAAAAGGTTACTAGTGCTATAAAGATGTGCCAAATATTGACACATTGTAGAACCATGTTTTATCACACCTCATTTTAGGAGGATTTGAAAAGTGTCAAAAATCAAATGTTTTTTGACTTATGCATGCTGTAAAAGCATGTTAAAAATCATTTAAGATCCTGGCAATGTGATTTTATAAAGACTCGTCATGCAAGACAGACGACATGGTGTTCTCTCTGTCTCTAGTGTCCATGCTGCTTCATGAGGAGCCAGAAAACCCCAAATGTTTTGCAGAAAGCAGGAAGGATTTTACTTGCTTCTGGGAGGAGGATGAGAGGGCCGGCTCTATCGACCAGTACTCCTTCATATACAGATACCAGTAAGCTCATGCTCTTAATGGCACTAGAAAATATGTTGTATCATATTAGCTCAAATTGACATAATTTTCTAATCAAACCCAGACTCATAACTTTAGGTCAAAGTTTACATATCACTATGTAACCTTTTTCTGTTGTAGAAATGAGCACAACAGTACCTGCCCGCTGAAGGTATTCCATCTCACAAATGGAAGAAAACTGTACGTTTGTCACCTGAACCAAACCCAGCTGTTTGTGCAAATGGACATTGAAGTGAACCGTAATGGAAAGCTCATCCACAATCGCACTCTCCTGATTGAGACAACCTGTAAGTTACAACAATACACCATCTGTCCTTTTTATAACATTACCTTTGGAAGTTTTATGGTGTCTATCTCTTTGTAGTTTTATTGGACCCACCTGCAAATGTGACCGTATGCAACGGCGCAAAGCCAGGACAGGTCAACGTCAGTTGGATTCCTCCTCACCTAAAGTACATGGACGATAGCATGATGTACGAGATCTTCTACACTCCTATGGACAGCCACATCAAGAAGGTATGCCATTGCCACCAGCCTTATCAAACAAATCCATAATGTATGCTTTTATGAGATGATTGTGTTTTTTGAAGGTGGAGGTGGCCTATGCTTCTTCACAGCTGGTTCTTAGAGGTCTTCAGCCAGCGACCAAGTACAAGGTCCAAGTGCGTGTGAACCTGGACGGTATCAGCTACAGCGGCTACTGGAGCTCATGGAGTGACCCGGTCTTCATTGATACGCCCCCTGCAGGTGGACAGAAGATACATAAGGAAGACGAGATCAATTAAATAGATATTGCTGCTTTAACCACTTTTTAATTTTTTTCTAGATCTTGACCCCCTCATCATATCTCTAAGTGTGATCATCTCATTCATTTTCCTGGTGCTGTCTCTCACAATGCTAGTCTCCCATCGCAGGTCTGTAATATTAACGACTATTTCTGAAACAACGTTCAGGCAAATCTCAGTATATTGAATTATTTTCTAACTGTTTACAGATATTTGATCAAAAAAGTTTGGCCTATTATTCCAGCTCCAGAAAACAAGTTCCAGGGCTTATTTACCATTTATGGTGGGGACTTCCAGGTAAAATGCCAATGTCTTATTACTTCATTCAAATATTGTCATTTTGGAATTGCTAGTCTTGCTGCCCCCATTAGAGACATTTGTTTTCTTACCCGCTCTAGCCATTGCAGCTTTCCATGCTCATGTTACACATACATTCTTCTGTTTTGTGATAGGAGTGGTTAGGACACACCAATGGAGATGTGTGGCAAAGCCCAAACGTGTTCTACCCAGAGGAGTGCCCCTCACCTCTCGAGGTGCTGTCCGAGCTGCCTGTGAACCCCCTGGTGCAGTGCCCTCCTCTGCCCCCTAAAGCCCGCAGGGTGCCTCAGGAGGTGAAGTCAGAAGTGGACATAAGGCCACCTCTGCAAAGAGAAGATTCTACTCAGAGTGAGGACTGGACGGGCAAGTCACATGACCACTGGCTCATGGAGCGTCTACAAGCGCTCCAGCAGCACCCTGTCCCATACTCACAGGAGTCCCAGGACACTTACGTCACCCTGAGCCACAACAACAACAGTGAGGACGGGCAAGATGTTGTCCCAGTGGAAAATGTACCTCTGGAGGTTCTGTTCACTTCCAGGAAAAAGACAGAATCTCATTCGGACTTAGGCTCTGGGTCTGGCCAGCTGTCGTCCCAGTCCAGTTTTGAGTACTCCAACCAGGACTGGGCCCACAAACCCCCTGGATACACATATATGGCTGTGGCAGACTCCGGGGTATCCATGGACTACAGTCCCATGAACAGACTGGAGGATATTGGGAAAGTACCTGTATTCACTCATGAGTACAAAAATGACATTGCTTTGAGGAGAGCATTTCTGACCAGGCAACACCACATTCACGACAACTACTGAGCATCTATACTGGCCTTGTTTAGATCAACTGATACGGTGCTTGTCAATTAGGATATTTTACTATACAACATAGTGACTACACTTGCAACATACACTATTATTATTTGACATGCATCATCACTATATCACTGATGAAACTGCTTTTTTGTACAGATTTCGGTAGTGAAGGTTCATGCTAGTTTCATCATGGGACATTTAAGAGTTTTTATTAGATCCAGATCCATAAATCAAACATTGCTGGCAATTTTACTGAATTACTAGTGTGATAAATAGTTTGTCACATATCAAGAATATGAAATTGCATTAAACCAAAGTTGGCATAATTGTAATGAGTACTCATCTTATTGGCCTCGAGCAAGCAATGAACTACATGATACATTCTGGAGCATTTTCTAGGGGTCTTTCTGATATACACTGTAAAAAGTAATATCTAGGTAAGTGAAAAACCTAAATTAAGGGCATTTTACTTTATTTGACTAGATTCAACTTTACAAGTACAATTATTTACTAATGGAACATGTGTTTTTCTTAATTCAAGCAACACAAGATTTTGTTTCTCACTGTAAATGCAAAGATTTGTTGCTTTTATTATCTTCAATGTAAAATATATATTTTCTGATTTTAAGTACAAAAAGTCTTGTTCCATTGGTAGATCATTTTACTAGTCAAGTGAAATTTATTCATATCAAGATAAAACATTCTTAATTCAAGCAATGTTAACTTAGCTAGACTGTACTTTTTGAAGTGTACCTTTTGGAACTGCAAAAGTTGCAATATCAGCTTTTGTTTCACACTGTATCAAGTGCACTATGCTTTTGGTAGAAACAAGGCTTTAGCTGCTCAGTGTTCAGCTTCTATAAACTAAAACTGTAAAATAAGAGGTTCAAAGAGAATAAGCTAGGACTCACACACAGAGTCCACAGGCTGCACAAACAGCATATCCTTGTTCAGTACAGAAGGAAACGAGGTTCCTCAAATGTGGATTACATGTATTGATTATATTTACTTGTGTTAAGATTTCACATACATTGAATGGACATTTAAAAAATTAAATTAATTACATGATGTGAACCTAAATCTAACTGTGAATAAAAACTATGTGATTTTTTTTTAAGTGATGTGAATTTTATATTAAAAACTATGAAAATGGCCAGAAATGTTCATGAATCAGTGTTTGAGAACTGTAGAAGTTCGATGGTCTCCGAGTTTCTAAACCAATTACAACCCATCATTTTCCTCATTATTACATTTTTAAGAGTGTGTGAACAAATGCTCAAATACACCAGTTAAATATAAATTTAATCAATCACCTAAACATCTAAACCTCTTAAAATATTTTCTAAAGTAAAAATGTCTTTTTTGTCATATGTTTTTCATCAAAAACTTTCAAAAGCAAAATTCATAACATTTAAACTAACAGTCACTTATAAATTCAGTGTTTTTGAGCCTGTTTAAACTCCATCAGTCCATCAGGTGACAGCAGAAGTCTCCACTCCTGAACAGGCTGTTCTTCTTTGCCCTCCACACCTTCCTTCTTACAAAAAGTCTTTGTCATTCCTAAATGAGACAGGTAAATGTTCCAAACTTGCTGAAGCCCACCTGATGTCGACTCATAACTCCTGTCCTTTTCCAGTGTACACCTCAACTGGAAATACCGATCGAGAACATCCAAAACTGGGTCAGCTGAGACCTCCCCACCCTTCTGCTCAGAGTTCCCTTGCAGATGATAAGAAGCGATAAGGCGACAGGGCGCATTGTCAGACCCTTGCTTCTCCAACATCTGTGTGAAAAAGGAGGCAGTGTCACAGAGAAGAGCAGACAGGTGGGCTGCAGAGGACTGTTCACTGGTGTGTAATCCACTGGAGGTGCAGGGGGCTGGGGCACACAGGTAACCCTCCAACCCGTCCACTATGATCAGAGCAGGGAGCGAAGAGGGGGAATGAGGAGACTCGTGAAGACCTGCCACCTGAACAAGCAGCTCCTCCAGTGTGCGGGGGTAGCAAAACTTGATTTTCTAGGCAGGAAATAAGCACAAAATAATAATTTAAAAATATTGTATTAGAAAATTCAAACCTAAATGTTGAGTTAAACCTGTGTAGCAGAGGTGGGGACCTGCAAGTCGTGACTTGGACTCAAGTCAGACTTGAGTCACTATTTTTAGAACTTGAGAATTGACTTGATAAAATGGAGTAAGACTTGGGACTCGACTTAGACATGAGGCCAGTGACTTGAGAAGACTTGAGAAACCCTTTCTATTCTGACTATAATGAGGATCTTGTCAGTGTCATGTCGATTTAAAAAGTTAATTTAAAAAAATTACCAAATACATTTCTACAACTCTTTTTTTAAGTGCAATTTACCTTAAAATATATATAAATAGCAAAAATCTAAGCTTCAATTTAAAGACTTGAAATGACTCAAAACTCAAAGCAGACAACTTGGACTTGATTTGAACTTGAGGTCAAAGAACTGAGACTCAAACAATGACTTGGTCCCAACTCTGCTGTGTAACCTTACTATATGAATTTTCTAGTGGATCAGGGTGTGCCAACTGCTTGTCTCCATGGAGATGCCATTTGGTCTGACTGAATGTTTCACAGTATGACATTAACAGTATCTATTTTGCAGATAATCAATTTCAGCTTTGTGTTTCTGTTGCTAAAATGCCTTGAAAAGCATGTATTCCTATTGTGAACAGGGTTGCCTCTCTACTTATCTCACTTATAACTTGGCTTTGGGTGTTATCTGCTTGTTTCCATAGAAATTCTAAGCAACGCAGTAACTTCGCAGAGGCAAGCAGGTGGCGGACACTCTACCACAGAATTTCATAGAGCAGATTGAGTAACTTATGTCTGTGCCTCAACCTTGAGCGCGGCAGGGGTCAGACTGGGGACCCGCCTCTGCAGTGCCACTGGAAGGCTCTGGATCTGAGTCTGGGTGAGGAAGATGACCCTGAGGTTTATCTCGGAGGCAGCGGTGACCGCGGCCAGCAGCAGCACGGAGCGGATCAGGCCGTGCTCCCCCGGGTGCTCCCCCGGGTGCTCCACCACCACCAGCGCACTGCGGGCTGGAGCTACAGAACAGAGCGACTTTTCCTCCACCGCTGCTAATTCACTCCGCGACGGAAAAGTTTTAAAAATGAGGGCTAAAATATCTGCCATAACGTCAAGTTTATAATAACGTACATAATCAAGTATTACTACTATTTTTTGCTAATTAATTAATCAAATTATCACGTCCGGAGCAATTTTGCCGCGGTTGTTTACGTACAGCACGCTGGTGTGTCCCTTTCTGCATCCCCTGCAAACCAACAAGTACTGTTAGTTCCTATTCAGGTTAATTTACGCAAACATTAAGCATCAATGGATATTATTACAAAATTTTTAATTCACCACAACTTGGCTTTATTATTTAGTTAAATGTAATATTTTCTGATATTGATAATCATAACTTAGTGCGGGTCATTTTAGCTCGCGACTTCCGCTACGTCACGCAATCACAACATCAGCTGTAGCCAAAATGGCGCATGCAGGGGCAGATTTAGCGGGTCCTCTGGGCTCTGATCCAGAAGTGGAGAATGAAACAGGGGTGTACAGGCGCTGCAGAGGGCGTCCGAGACTCACAGAGTCTGACCGAGCCAGGAGACGGCATGAATCCCGCAAGAAGTATGACATTAGGAGAGTGTACCTCGGGGAAGCGCATAAAGTGTGGAGTGAGCTGCGCCGGAGGACCAGTCTGAGTGATGCTGGGCTGGCAGAGTACCTGATCCTGCTTCACTCTACCCATGGAGAGAGCGACCAGGACAAGCACTCTGGGTACGTGCGTCTTCACAAGAAGGTGGCTTTTAACATGTCTGTTTGGTCGTTTCCTGTATCTGCTATAATCTATTTCTGTTTTTAGGGAGAAGACTGGAGTAACAGACATTTCCTCAAATCAAAAAAGTGGTAGGCCATGTCATGTAATTGCTATGTACAATTACTTCAGTTCATGAATGGTGGTGACAGCTGATAAGTCACATTGCTCTTTAGTAACACACACCAACATAAAGCAATTCACATATATTCTCCAGGGCCACAATAGATTCTTATTTTACCTGCTATTAAGACAGAGCATGATCTATACTGTTTCCAAGGTTCTACATCAGTGATGCCTTTTTTTTTTTCAGACAATAGGGGGTGTGTGTCCAGCCTGCAGAGCCTTGTCCACTGGTACCAGGAGCACTGTGAGACCTGTCCCCTGGAGCCAGAGCTCAGATCTCTGGAGTGTCAGCCCGCCTCACCCACTGTTGCTCTGTGGCAGTGTGACTCAGGTCACTCCTTCACTCAGTATCTGTACCCCCCACAGTCTGCTGAGGCCAGTGACTGTGAGCAGGACGAGGGAGGGCATACAGAGGGGGAGCCGCAGAGCACAGCGGTAACAGCAGTCACTAAAGTTAAAAGGTCTGTGGGCAGGAGGAGACGAAGACGGACGCGTAGAAAAGCAAAAGGTATAGTGTATTATTAAATTGCTCTGAAATAAAGTATCACATTGCAAATCTAAAAAACTATAATTCACTGTCCTGACTACAAGATTACTCTGTGTGTATTTAAAAGCAAAACATGGGTGGACAAACAAAAAAAATTTACATTCTTATACATTTCATATCTTGTTTACCAACCTCAGGAATAAAGTTTAAAATGTAACCTACAGAGTTCAGTAAATGTGTGCATTTCCAGGAGTTTTAAATGACACATTATAATATACAATTTTGGTTGACGCTATCATATAGTTGAGTTAACTGTAGACCATCTAGATCAGGGGTGTCAAACTCATTTTGGTCCGGGGGCCGTATCCAGTTTATCAAAGGGGCCGGATCAGAAAACTCATGGCATATAAACCCCAAAAATAGCAATAAGTTCAGATATTTGTGCAGAGAAACACAAATCTATTACAGAAATCTTTTTTAATTGATGAACTCTTTCTTTTACAAAATATTATAATATTATGAACAACCTGAAACTTTAAGAAAAATGCAATTTCAGCACAACATTTCAAAAATAACTTGTATGTAAATAGGAATAAGTCAATTTTTGTCACGGTCAACAGTCAAAATGATCGTCCTTTAAGAGCGTTTGGAAAGAGACAAGTCTTCATTTGTGCTGCTCTGGTGGGAGGGGCCACGTACAGAGACGCTGGAGACGCTGCTGTGATAAACACCACAGAAAATTAACTAAATTTGAATAGAAAATATAATTGAAATATTTTAGTATAAAATCAGCTGAGGGCCAGATTAAAGGTCTTGGAGGGCCTTATGTTTGACACCTGTGATCTCAATAAACAACATAATGATGTTTGCTCTTTTCAGGTGTGGAAGAAAATGAGCCTGTTGCAGCTGTTCAACACGACTCTTACCCCAGAGAACAGATTCCATCTGCCTCTCCGGATCCACCCAGGGCCGTAACAGAGACCGAGCCGACCCCAGTTTGGGACATGGAGGGGTCCCCTGATGCCTTTCATTCTGAGGACGACTGTGAAGATCTGAGAGCAGCTGAGGACAGAGAAATGCAAATACACAGGGACACACCAGAGGGATTCCAGTGTGTGTCTTTGGGGCATAAAGTGGACAGCATAAATGAGGAGTCAGTACTGAGTGGATCTGTGCCTCCACCAATGCATGTACAGGATCAGAGCACCCTGTATGACCCTCAGAGTCTACACAGCATAGTCGGCTGTGAGATTCCTGACCAGAGGAGTGCTTTTGAAGCGTCGCAGGTAAAATTAATAATGTACTGTCAAAAAGAAAGCAATACCTATGTAGGATAATGGATGAAAAGAATTGTAGAACACTTTGTAATTTGATTTAGGCCAGGACAGCAACACTGATGAAAACATAGAGCTGTAGATAGGAGAGCTGAAGATTCTATGATGATGCTTTAAACAGATAAGACAAGAAGGACAGCTCAAATGTTTTAATATTTTATTTATTATTTGTTGATTTGTTATGCTTGAAGTTGATCATCATCACTGGCCCCAGCTATGAGGCATTAGCATCAGAGGGTATTCAACTTAACATGACCAACGGAACCAACATGGAGGAGGTCACATGCACTGTCATTGGAAATGTTTCCTACAACCAAATCTGTCCCCTGGACACTAAAACCAGGATGCTCCAGGACCATTCTGCAACTGGTGAGAAAGCAAAAAAGAACAAAGCAATTTATTGTCAAGTTGCTGAAGCTGTAACATTTACACGTAATCCTTTTCATGAGCTTTACCCATATTATTATTGGACTATCTGCAACATTGAACTAAATCTGACCTCTCTGTGAAATAAACACTGTTTTTACAGTTGCTTTTGTTGACAATTCACATTTATAAACCCACTGATATTATGTAGATTTGAGTGACCAACAGCTTCATCTGAAGGCTGAAGACCCTCAGGAGATGAGCCCTGACAGAGAACTACACCGGAGCAGGTCTGTATCAATCATTGTTTAAATTAATTGCTCAATAATGACCACTTAATGAAAAAGTTAGCACAAGAAACTAGACATTTTTTAACTTACTATTTTATATAGATACATGATAACAAATGTTAAATTATTATTTCAAAATGATAATCAGAAGAAGAAGTAGACGTGGTCCAGTGATCGAGGCAGATGGGATGCTGAAGATGTTCCACTGTCCGTACGAGGGCTGCAGTCAGGTGTATGTGGCCATCAGCAGCTTTCAGGTAAAACATACCGGTAATTTACATTCACTTATGCTTGATGGTTTGTTCTTTTTGTTCTATTCTATAAAGTATTTTCCTCTTTGTAGAATCACGTCAACTTAGTTCACAGAAAAGGGCGAACCAAAGTGTGTCCACATCCAGGCTGTGGGAAGAAGTTCTATCTGTCCAATCATCTGCATCGGCACATGATCATCCATTCAGGTGAGCTCATAGTCATTTAAAGTAACATTATCATTATTATTATACTTAGAACAGGAACTAAAGATGATATGGGAACTTCTATTAATGGAAATGTATCTTGTTTCAAATTCAATGAAGAGCATGTTTCAGAATGAACTTCTCTGATGCCCTGTCCACTTAATTCCCTCTCTCAGTCTGCTGTGTAACCATGACAGAGAATTAACTGGTAGGGATAGTCTCATAATTGTTTCCCTATGGTTCTTATCTAAGAACATCTCTGATTTGGCAAAAATGTATCAGGTAATACACAGCAATCTCATTTTATTTCACAAATGACTGCTTTTACAGTAAAGTGAATAATCTAAAAACTATAACTGTGAATCCTAGGAGTTCGAGACTTCACCTGTGAGACGTGTGGGAAGTCATTCAAACGCAAGAATCATCTAGAGGTCCACAGGCGCACCCACACAGGAGAGACCCCACTGCAGTAAGTATATAGGTTTAACTTTACCTGACCCTTCTTCATCACTCCTGTATGCAAGTCCATTGAATAAACATAAAAGTATCACTGTCAAAACTGGAATGAAAAAAGTTATTATATTGCAAGGTGGAGAGACTCAAAAAGACACAGAAAAGCCACATGAAAAGAGAAAGTAAGAGAAAGTAGTAGTAGTTTTATTGAATGAGATGTCTTCCCCCCAAGGGTTGGTCACTGGAGGTGGTAAAGGTGAGACCAAGAGGATGAAAGTCCGAGTGCATGCTAGGGAGGATGTGGGGCATGGTTTAGTTTATTTGTTTATTTATCAGGGACAATGCACATAAAAACATTGAGCTACACAAAGGTCATATGTTTGTGCCAGGCTATAGCAAAATTGCTCTTTTCCACCTTCAGTCCCTGGACAGGTTGACATCATCAATGGCGTACAGGCCAATAAAAAAATTACAATGTATATTTATGCAACCATTTATCCAGTCAATCAATAATCAAACCGAAGCAGCCCTGCACCTGCAATGGGAGTTTAAATTTAGCAGTCTGGGCGCTGAGTTGATGAGGAGGACGTGCTGTGAGCAGTGAGGAGGAGTATTTAGAGTGAGGGATGAAGACTGAGGAGCAGGTAAACTCTGGAGAAGCAGTGAGGTAGATGATGGTGTAGTTATGACTTACAGACTGAATTTACACTTGCTCCATATGTATTTTCTTCTGCACTATTTTGTCCAACAGATTTTGTTTGTGTTTTTCTTAGGTGTGAGATCTGTGGATACCAGTGTCGGCAGAGGGCCTCCCTGAACTGGCACATGAAGAAACACACCTCAGAGGCTCAGTACAACTTCACATGTGACTTCTGCCACAAGAGGTTTGAGAGACTGGAAAGTGTCAAGTTCCACAAGCTGAAAAGTCACCCGGACAAACTGTTGACTTGAAATGCACTACACACACAGCTGCTGCTGCTACTGCTGTTTACACACAGGTACAGGTCAAAAGTATGGCATCACGGAGGGGACAAAAAGAACAGCTGTGCAGGACATTTGCTGTCTTTTAGAGCCAGAGCATGTTGCGGCATGAACAAAAAAAATAGCACATTTTTAATTAGGTTGTATGTGGTGCTTGTATAATAATCATTTTGTTTCAGTTTTGCACAACTGAAGTTCTATTGTATTTTGTTCAGTGACTTAAACTAATCTAATCTAGGCCTATTACTTTTTTAAAGGTGCAAATTGTCCCCTACTGGTCTGTTAGACACCCTATAGTTGTAGATGTAGTATTAGCAAGTGAATGCACAGCTATCTATAAACAGGAATAATTTACAAGCACTCCATGCAAACTTACTAAAATGGGTAATGAATCAAAAGTGTGGAGCATTATTTTACTTCAATTTCTACCTCTAATGGCTTTAGACTGAACTGTACTCTGCTGTTGACTTTAACAAGGACATTTTTGATATTTGCGCACCCATGTTTATCCAAAAGGACCTTTTGTAGGCCATTTCTGTTTCATTTCTTTGCAAAATGCTTATTATACATATCATTTGTATTTACTTATACAGTATTTGTTGTTTTCAGTATTTAAACATTTTTTCAAAAGATAAATTATTTTGTAATACAATTATTTGTTGTTAATAAAAAGTATGTGATTTTACATGTTGTGTTTTTGTGATCAGTTTATTTCAGGTGAACGAGTGGGCAGTGTAGCTATGACAACAGACTTCCTCTTCAAAACCTGTTTATGTTATGCTGCAGTATTTCCGCTATGATTAAGCACCAATATCAGCACCTATGTTAATGCAAATTTTAGCTGTCGCTTGAGTATTTTTTCTATAGTTTTATATTATTAAAAAAAAAAAGAAACAGGATATCTTCTTTTCTAATAAATTTATTTTGAATAGAATCAGTTCTGAAGAACAGTACTTATTCAGGTCTCAAGCTGAGAATAACTTAAAACTTTATCAACACAGATGTTTTAAGTGGTTCCAGTATTAGTCTGATGGACAACACTTTAGCTGCTATGTTTAATTTGCGTATATTTTTAGTATTTCCATACGTCTTTGAAACGTGTATGAAATTAAAAACCAGCCCCAACACAACCCAAAGGTCTTTTTTTGTGTTTTACTGGTGTGCCCATATACGGTTACATATTTGTGCATTCAAACAGGTACAAAGGGCTAGCCGACAGGTGAACATCTTTTCTCTCTCCCTCCCCCAGGGGAGACCAGCCCAGAGCATCTCCATAGTGATAAGAGCTGCTCTGCTTTCGTGGACACTCCCCATGCACCCTCCCCTCAGCACCTATAAACAACCACAGGGCTAAAATCAACGCACAAGAACAAGAAATCAACACCGTAACTATCAACTCAATTCAAAATAAGCAGTTTATTCAAAGTTTATTGTATGTAGGATTGGATACATGTTTCTCTTATACTTGCTGTTGTTCTTTTATCTCTACAGTCAAGCCACAAGAGACCGGGCCTCTAAAGTGCAACTCTGGTAAAGGTAAGCTTTGATTTAAGATTATTTCTAATATTTGTGAACTATTAATTTGACCATAACAAAGACGCAACGGTCCATCCAACAATGATCCTTTGTATCCCGAAACCTGACTGCAATTACGGCTCTCAATGAAATCCTTTGAAAATGTTGGTCTATGTTTTCCCTGAGGTTGGATAGATAATGGATATGTTTATTTTGGATACAATGGGCAAAATCAAAAGTATTATGAGGAAACATTGAAACGTACAGGTGTTTTAGTTCGAATAGGTAGGATTATTAATGTAGGCTGCCATTTGTAAATTTGCATACATCATACATAACACGAGATTATTCTAAGCACAGTGAGCAGGTGTTTAATTTAATCCATTACCACTGTTAAAAAGTAACAGTGGTAACTGTAGTTGTTGTAGTTAACACTTTCACACTGGGATGAACATTACATTGTCTAGGGATTACATTAGTTCGGCTCACTGTTTTCAAATGCTTACATAAAGCTATCCCAACTGAGCTCCCAGTCAACACTCTTGGTTCAGACCAACTTTAATTAAGTGACTGTTGTGTTCAGTACATAACCTGTCTATAGTTAGGAAAAAATATAGAAGTCCAGTGATGGAACTTTGCCAAACTATACTTTACAAGTAAAACTGACAATTGTTAGTACTCCTTAGACTTTCACAATTCTTTGTACTCCAAAGTTTGATGTATGTATGCAGTGGTATATGAGTTGCTGTGTCATCTTGTTAATAGCTCACTTGTTTGTGACAGATTGCAGATTGACATGGATGGCTAAGCAAAGGCAATAAGTACAGTGTGGGGATCTAGTCTCTGTGGTTCTTGGGTCAATGATCTGTTAACACATTATTAACTTGATGGAAACCAGCTTACTGCAACAGTTGGGGCATGTCACTTCCTGTTGTCTAAATGTAACACTTAATAGAAAGAATGTATGATCTTCACAGTGTATATGTTTATAGCCTGGGCTGAAACACAACTAGAATTTCAGCTCAGTCATTGTTTTGGTGCTGCTGTTGGCACCTCACACAAAGACTACTGTTCTCTCCATTTTAACATGCACAAACATATGAGAGTGACTGTAGCTGTTTGTCACCTTGATGTCATTTTATAGGGTTACAAAAAATCCTGCTTCATATACATATTATTTCTTTGTATCCAGCTTGTGGTTTAGGAAGACTTCAATTATGATTTGATAGGTATACAGTTTTACATTAGGTCATTATATGAAGTATTATGCACCAACAAACTAGTGTCTATACCAAAAACAGCCATTGCTGTGTTAAAAGTAACCTATTTGCAGATAAACTTTAAAAAAATTACCATAAACTTGAATTTTGCGTCCCTAAACCACCTTAAATCCACAGTATGTAACTTTGTTTGCATGTGTATTTAAATTTTTTTCATTTTGGTTGTGTTTATTTCACTGACCTAGTCTGAGCGAACTACCATCTCCACAAACTTGACCCCTATTTGACCAGGAAGAGGGCCTGCTTCCATGGACATATTGTTCCATTGGCTATAATCTTTCACAGTATAGCATGGAGAATGTTCTGATGTATGTTTTTTTGCAGGTGACGTACCACCACCAGAAAGCTACATACTGTACCTTTAAACCTGACTCAACATATTAGTTATGGATTATTTCCCTGTAATGGCGCAAACAAATGACAGCAAAATAAATTGTACAATTATACCCAGAGTAACCAAATGTTTTCCATGCAAATATCGTCACATTTGACTCTTTTCCAGATCTGTCATAAGCACGTTTCTAGCTTTTGCTGATTTACATGCTATTTGGTTATGTGTTTCATTAGGCTAGTTTCCATATTTTTTTTAGCACTGTAGTGTATTGTGTACCCTGTCAGTCAGTGAACAGAACAGTCTTATTTGGGTTAATACAGAACCCAAACATTTCATTTTAACCACTGATCAATAATAGTGATACAGTTTTGAAAATGTTCTGACCCTGCCCCATATCTTGTTTATAAAATGTCTAGATTATCTTTTTATTACTGTTTTAAAGCTGTATATTAACAGAATTTTATTTTTTTCTTCATAGCTTCAACGATTGACAGCAAAGATGTCTTGTGTCAGTTGCCTCAAGTTCCTTCTGTTTTTCTTCAATGGCATAATTTTTGTAAGTCTTCTTGTACATGTATGTAGTTGGATTAAGTTAACTCTTAATTTTGTATTATTATTTTAAAGATTTATAATGTACTCAATATATAATTTTTCCAGTACATGTCGTGCCTCTGTCACAATAACTTCATTATGAGGGAGCGTTTCCATTTCCATTTGTTATGACATGTTATAACCAGCATATGGCAGTGTTGAACTGTAAATGGGTTTTGCACACAGCGCTGTGGATCTACAAAAAACTCGGTGAGGTCAGTGGCTGCCAAAAGGGTATCCTTAGGGGTACGCAGAATAACCTAGGGGGTATGTAAAGTGGGAAGATCATAAAACTGCCATGTTACCTTTCTTTTTTTTTTACAATTTTGATCATTTGCATCTCCAAAGGTAGTGTAAATGTTTAAATGTAATGCAAATGTTTCAATATAATAACACATTTAGTAACTTTCAGATATTCTATAATGTGTGCAGTGTCCACTACACAAGTGACAAGTGTGTCAAACTATGGGGAACATGAGTGATTATCAAGTCTTAGGGGGCACACAGTAAAAAATGTTTTAAAAAAGCTTTGGGAACCACTGAGTTAAGTGTAGTAATAAATATTTGACTGGAATTCAGATATAATCTTTTAATTTAAATTAATTTATTTTACAATATGCTTTTTCTGTTCTAACCATTTATTTTATTTATTTATTGTTTGTTACTGCATAGCCAAAACATGGATACATATGGACTTAGTGGCTTATTGTTAATGATGGAGTCATGTAAAGCTTATGTTTATGCTGCACTGCCACAGACCGTTCTATGGAAAAAGGCTTCAAAATGACAGCAGATGGCAGTCTAGATTTTCTAATTTTACAAAAGCATTGAAACGATTCCAGTCCAACAAGTATAATGCACTTTTGCTATGTTCACACTTCCATTGCATTTGATTTTTGATTATAATGACTTGTGCAGCCCTTAAGGGGAGATACAACAGATGTGTTACGCAGCTGATGGCACGTGCCCACCTTTGCCTGTCTCTTCAGTTGGCCGGAGCAGGGATCCTGGCAGTGGGCATCTGGGTGAAGGTGGATAGTGGTTCGATCTTCAGTTTTCTGGAGAATATCCCAAATGCCCCGTCCGAGTTGGGCCAGGTGATGAATGTGGGCTACCTGCTCATAGCACTAGGGGGCCTGCTGCTTATCATTGGCTTCCTAGGCTGTTGTGGAGCCATGCGAGAGAGCAAGTGCATGCTGCTGCTGGTACGGACATGCTACTCTTACTACTGCACTGAATAGAGAATGCATAAATTTGTGTAGAATTCAATCTTCTCTTCACATCTTTTCCACAGTTCTTCATTATAGTGATGCTGATCTTCTTGGCTGAAGTTGCAGGAGCCATAGTGCTGTTGGTGTTCAGACCACTGGTCAGACATAATTTTTTTTAATACTTGATGAATTTAACATTATGATCAGTTTTATTGTTAATATCCACAATCTTTGTATAATTCCAGGTGGACAGTTTGCTTGTAAAGTTTGGACATGTAGCAGTTGAGAGTATAAAGACAGACTATGGGAAGAACCCTGACATCACAGGACTATGGAACACCACTATGACCACAGTTAGGCCTGCTCTCAAAGTCATTTCAAAATCACATTTTCAGACCATAATCTAACATGTGTTTTACTTCTTCAGTTAAAATGTTGTGGATTCAACAACTACACAGACTTCACCAACTCATCCTACCACCTGGAGAATGGATATCCTCCAATGTGCTGCCAGGGTGATGGACCTCCTTGTGGCAACAACACGGCAGTAGCAGTATGTACCCACAAACCACTGACTGTCTTAAGTGTGTACATCAATATATACATGGATATTCTTCTGACCTGTACTTCAACATATTGTTGACATGGTCCATGATTAGAATCTGTTTCCAACCAAAATAATTAAAAATCTGTCATTTTCTTCATTTCTTGTGTTGTTAGCAAAGTTACTTGTGTGAGAACAAACTGTGTTCTAATAATATTACATCTCTTGACTTTAAAGTGGTTGTTAAAAAAAAAAGTAGATAAATTTGCTGATTAATTGAGTTTTGTGAGTAAAAATGCTTTTTATTGTTTTTTTGTCTCTTAGCCAGTGTCTGGCTGCTTTTTAAGGATTAAAGAGCTGATAGATGACAACAGTGCGGTTATCATTGGAGTGGCTCTGGGAATAGCAGCTTTAGAGGTACGACCTTAACTTTATTAAAGGAAGTTAGGGATCTTAGTTGTTCTTTTCACATTATGCAAGTATTTTATTACACATATTCACACTCATGTCATGTTAATTTGTTGTATGTTTTCTACAGCTGGCAGCTATGGTTGCCTCCATGAGCCTTTTCTGTAGAATCAAGTCAGCCTGAAGCAAATCCACCTCCTCACCGAAACTGATCCAGATACTACCTTATGGACTGTTTTTAAAGAGTACTACCCACAATGTGACTGTTTCTGTTTTTTAAGATGTAAATACAGAGTCCCTGAATGACAACTCCAAACAACAGTTTGTAAAAACAAATAGTAAAATCCAAAAGCAAACAGACATGTGCTGCTCTCCATCAGCAATTCTCTCTAATCTTTAGGCTTACTTCAAGATCATGTCCACTCAGTTATACTGTACATACTGACATGTTTTCAAAGTGAAAGGCAATGCATTACACCTGATAAATATGTACATATTTATATAATCTATTTGAATTCTTCCAAATAAATCTTTTTATTTGTTGACTGTGGGTGACATCTTTTTGAGGTCTGCAGCAGAGGTGCCAGACTATGAGCAGTGCACAAGTCAGAAACCTTCCATCAGCAGTATTAGTATTATCAAAAGTACGCCCTTAGGCTATAGTTATTGTTTTCACATTATAAGACAGGTAGACAACTTTGGTTTTGTATTTAATGTTTTTATAATTATTAGAGGTGAGTCCAATCAAAAAATACCATCATACCATGAGGCTTAGTAATGAAATAGATCAAATGCACCAACACAAAACGTTAAAACATTTAAATTTCACAAATAGACAAATAAAAATGAATCAAGTTTACAGACAGTTTTAATGTGACGTGCTCTGATGTCAGTCATAGACTGATGTTAATTTAAGGCTCGTGCGTGCGTGGCAGGGTGCTCAGAGGTGTCCCAGTGCGCATGCTCCAGCTGACAGTAAACATACCTTCACCTCCCTCCGCTTCCCGTGTACGCCCCTCACAAGATCAGCACGCCCACCCTCACAAGTCTAATGGTGAACCTGCCGCAATTTTATGTACTTCCATCCCCTCGTTTCTTTATGTTTTTGGAGTAAGCGATAAACTTTGTGAATGAGTGTGGATTTTGTGGAGAGTTTCTACTGCGTCTTCCACCGCCGCTGCTGCTGCTACAGGCGTCTCTGCGCGCCCGAGGGGAGAACATGTCCAATGGGAAAGAAGCAAATGTTCCAGTGAAGTGAGTGCAACACGACTGAAAAGAGAATGAAGCTCAAGATAACCTATGCCTGTAGATTTACACGAATACTAGCCTACGTCATACGGTGTTTTTGATTACTTTTGTAGTCAGTAGCTTTTGGATCTGAAGATATTACTCAACTTTAGCCAGCACCCAACTGGAGGCAACATTATTGTAGTATATAATACATGCAATTAAAGTTAATTTTTCAAGGGCAATCATATTTGGATTTTGTTGTCCTATCTTTTTTGTTATGTGTACATTATTTACATTATATTATACATTATTTAGAAAGTACACTGTGATTTTTCTGAATTATCATTATGCATCTGTTTAGTTGCCAAAGAGGTAGAGTTGTTCATTCATTTGCTTCTGAGAAAAGTTATTAGTAAAGTTCTTCCCAAAACAAGTGTTATAGCCAGCCATTAAACACATGTGAAAGGTTGGTTTTCCCTTGTTGATTTGACTAAATATGGATTTTTGATATTTGGAAATTTGAAAGAATGGGAATTACACATGGAATCTTCATTTATTAGTAACTCAGCATATGTCACTGTAATATGTAGTTCTTAAAATGAGGGTTGCTTCACTATTTGTAAAGGGTTTCTGGACTCTCTCTTAAGCCTGCGTCCCCCTCTATATGTTGAGCCTTTAAGTGCACATTCCTAGTTGTTCAACCCTCTCTTAGCAACATCCTGGCTCTTAAGCTAACTGGTTTTTGTGTCTCTGCAGCAGCCCCTCGCAAATGACCCTCCAAGAGTGCCTGGATGAGTGCATGGAAGCGCTGGACCTCTTCCTTAACAACCACTTCAATGAGAGCTTAGACAGGCTTAGGCCAAGGTAAGCCTTTTTTGCAACACACTAGAGCATAGACTGTAAACTTGGTTTTGGCCTCCTGTTATGATGTCAGCACAAATGGTGAAAGATAACAGCGTTTTGTGGTGAGGAATAGACTGTGCAAAACTAGTTCCTCAAAGCCGTCTGCTGGTCAGCCTCGGGTTGAACCAGTGACTCCAGGATATGAAGTGTTTACCGAAGATGACGCCCAACAAGTATTGGTGAATCAACAGCCCAGAGAGTAGGAGTGCTGAGTGCAGAATAAACAGTACAGGAAAAAGGAGGAAAGAGAAAGAGAGAGAGAGCGAGAGGGAGAGAGCGAGAGGGAGAGGGAGAGAGAGAGAGAGAGAGAGAGAGAGAGAGAGCTAGAGCTAGAGGGAGAGATAGATAGGAGTGGGGCTCTGAATAATGAAGCTTATCTCTCCTACAGGGAAATGTCACACACAGGCAAACTGTGCTCACTGTGGCTGAGAGTTAGTTCACTGTAATGACAGATGTGACAGTCATGGTCATATCATATATATTTCAATATTTACTTCAGGCTAACATTGTCATTTGTATAGTTAAATATTTACTCTACATTTAACAGTTTGCTAAAACATATGTAATAATAATAATTTGCATTGTAAAATTTTATTAATTAACATTAACCGTTATTTTATTTATTTTATTTTTTTTTTTGTAAATGTACAACATATATTTTAAAATTAAAAACTAAAAGCTCATTTTAAATCAAAGTTTGCACTTTTTGTGATAAAAAGGAAAAGGATGAATCTGGACTGTAGATGTTGTTAATTTCTTAGAGGCTGTCTGTGTTTTGGTGCAGGGTGAATGAGAGCATGTACCATGCTCTGATCTACGCCACAGTGCTGGAAATGCAGGCCATGATGACGTTTGAGCATGACGACATCACTAACGCCGGAAACACCATGAAGAGTGCCCAGGAGGTGTGCCAGAGGTGAGCCCGGGGAAATGCTCACACAACTGAGGCTTAATACTGCATTATGCAGCCAGTAAGTGTACAGCAGTGACAGTAACTGTGGTAGAAATCAACTAATTTTATTTAAAGAAGCACAAAACTGTCGAGCCAGTAGTGCTCAGGCTTGTGTTGTAACAAGAAATTTGTTGTTCCCAATAGCAATGAAGCAATGGAGATTTACAGATATCAAGACATTCATTATGTGAATTAGCATTCCATTCAAGTGTTTTCACGTTTACTTTTTTCTATTGTTGTGGCTAAAGCACCTCTATGGACATTTTGTCTGCTGACAACAGTGACTGGCAGATTCATATGTTCGATCTTTTACATATGATCCCATTGTCTGGGATCTCTGGATTCTCTAGTGTCAGCAAAGTCATTTGACTGTATTTAGTCAGAAAGAAAAAGTATTTACTTATGCTTTCTTTGACAATATGTCACTAATTCTAAAGGTAAACTTTGGAAGTTTAAAATGACACCGCTAAATACAAGAGAAACTATTTAAACTTCTCTTTGAGACAAATGATGATTTTTCAATACAGATTACAAAGAAATGTTTTATTTAATTGGCTTAAACTGCTAGATCTTCTGTTTTGGACTCATCACAAGCAAAAAGAACCTCTGGTACTGTTTTGAATGTGGTTTTGACAACCTGCAGTTGCTTGTATTACTTATAACAGTGCTTTATAACCCTGCTTCCTCTGAAATGGCAAGGATCACATTTTCATATGTATATTTAGATTTGCATTCACATTTCATACTTTGCTTGCATAACCCTTTCATCAACAATTTGACTGTCACATATGCAAAGAAGCAATTAAGATGTCATTATTGATCAGAGAAATTTTACAGATAATAATTTATAATTATTTATTTCAGGTTTCGAAGAAAATCTCCAGGTCTGAGCAGTAAGACTGGGGATTCTCTGTCTGAAGGTAAACTCACAAACAACAGCTGTGAAAATGTGTCAGTAGATTCAATTTATTCTCAAACAAGTAAATACATGGGACCAGTCTTTTTGCCACTGGACTGTTCATCCCCTTTTATTGAGCTTCATTTAACACTGACTATATCTTTTTGTGTTGTGTTTGTGGCATCTTTTCTCACCACATTTGAACATCTTGGGTCTTCCTCTTGTGCTTCCTGCTTCTCCACTCTCAGCATGCTGTTCACTATCCCTTGACTTTATGTGCCTGAACCATCTTAATCTTGTCCTATTGTCTCTGTGTTTACACAGTCTTGGTGTGTGTTTTTTCGCAGTGCAGCTCCATGCTGAAGTGTGTTTTGCTGAATGTCAGCTGCAAAGAGCAGCTCTCACCTTCCTACAGGTCTGATGTTGTAAATGTAATTCATCGACTAAAATTATTTTTGTGCATGTGTATGTAAGCTTGAGGTGTAACATTATAAACCATGCATATGTCCTGCCATAACATCAGATTTCATTTTTATAGGATGAAAATATGGTCAGCTTTATCAAAGGGGGCATCAAAGTACGGAACAGCTACTTGATATACAAGTAAGTCATGCACTGGACTGAGCCTGATGTAGGATGTGGAGTGGTATAAGCCACTGTAGATTTTAATAGAGTGCATTTAAAAGCACCATAAATGTAAAATTCTATCAATGGAAAAAAAAAAAAAATTCTGTGTGGCCATCTTAAACTGTTCAGATCATGTTCAGATTTGATCATGTCAGAACATCTCTTTATCAGGGGCCGTGATAGGGCTTTTATTGAGACTGACATGCAGTCATTTCTCATTGTGATCAATTATTTTGTTATACATTTTTAAATCTGGCCAAAGTGCATTAGAATATGTAGTGTATGGTAGTATATAGAATATAGTATATAGTATATATAGTAAAACAGTAGTATATACTGTAAAAATCTGGTATACATATTTTTTTAACCTCAATTTCAATTTAAACCCAGCTTGAATTATGAACATATAGTTCCTTTTGTATGTTTCCTTGCTCCTTAGAGAACTACATTCCTTCATCAAATCCCATAATTGTCAGAAAGGAGCCAGCCACCTGCATTTAGAGGGAGGTGTCTCATTTGGAATAGGTGCCTTTAATCTGGTACGAGTAGGTTCTTTATCAATTAGCCAACATTTTATACTAAATGTTAATGTTGTTTATCCATCACCAATTTATTCACAGACCCTCTCTTTGTTTCCTCCTCGGATACTCAAACTGTTGGAGTTTGCTGGTTTCTCTGGAGACAAGGTATTGAAATACAATTATGAAATAGTAATTTAATTTTTGAAGTTTGTAATGTGTTGCATTTTCTCCTTCAGGAGTTTGGTTTGTCACTGCTCAAGGCTGGTGCCACAGGGATGAACCTGCGCTCGATGCTGTGTGCTCTCCTATTGCTCTGCTACTACACATTTCTAACTATTATTCTTGGTACTTCTCAGTCCTCATTAAATTACAGGTTTATTCACACTGCAAACTGGTGTAAAAATCCTTTTGTTTTTAGGCACTGGTGAAGGAGAGGTGACTGAGGCTGTGGAGCTGCTCAAACCTTTCCGCCTTCGCTATCCACAGGTACATTCACAAATATTTGGCTCAAGGTTCCATGTGTGCATTTAGAAATTGTCTTCTAAATCAAAAACAATATGACAGACAATAATTCAGTTGGTGATCCCTGTGTTGTTAAGTGCTGATCATATCATGTATGGAAATTAGTAGCTTCAGTTGTGCTCAGGTGTTCCTATTGTAAATATCTAAAATTCATGTTCCGATTGCAGTTATGAAGCCCCATCAATTTTTAACCATTTTATTTTGGATGCTTTAAGTGTCTTTACTGTGAGCGGGCTTGCTTCTGCTTAAAACTGACTTTTATTTAACCTGGATAAGGACCTCCTTCTTTGTCTGTCTTCATGGAAATCTTGTTCGTTTAGCTACAATTTTCTTCAGTATGGCAGAAAACATATCCTTCTCCATGAAGAATATTTAGCATGGTTTTAACTTTCTATTTCTATGGAATCATCAGGTGATATGGCATCTCCAGATAGTTACATGGTGTTACTTTTAACATATTTTCTGTAAAATTCTGTAAATGATATTGTTTTGGAGCAGATTTGGTTACTTTTTTTTACTAATTCATCACTTTGTCATCCAATCCTATTCACTCCTTTCCAGCCACACTCTCCACTCCTTGATAAGGTTCCCCACGCACAGACAAACATACCATAGTGCTATCACTAACCACTACCCCTGTGCCACTCCACCTTCTGCCTACAGCTGCCCTTCCCTCTCTGCAAACTATATATGTATTCAGATTGTACATTTAAGGTTTTAAAACTTAACAAGATGAGTTTACCTAACCCATAGGACTGACCTTTCACATACATTTTTTTAGACCTTGTTCAGGATTTTATTATGTCACAAAATATTTTTTTTAAATGATAATTATCCACCAAAACTCACGAATGTATTGTCTTACCAGGGAGCAATCTTTCTCTTTTTTGCGGGCAGAACTGAGGAGATTAAAGGCAACATTGATGAGGTATGTTCAATCTCATTTCCGATCATTATTTTCACAGGCAGTGTTAATATTTGATCTTGGCTGTAAGCGGTCTGCTGTTTGCAGGCCGTGGCTCTGTTTGAGGATGGCTGTAAGGCGCAGCAGGCCTGGAAGCAGTTTCACCACATGTGCTATTGGGAGCTCATGTGGTGTTTCACCTTTAAACGAGACTGGAAGATGGCTTACTTCTATGCAGACCTCCTGAGCCGAGAGAGCCGCTGGTCCAAGGTACAGCCTCCTTCTGATCTTTGTGTTGGTAAAGATGAGTCATGTTTTGCACCATTTTCATAAGATAGTGTGGTTGACTATCCTCTTTTTGTTGGTTGCATCAGCAATTTTTAATGCGTGAAATCCGAAAACAAATCTGTCAGTTATGAAGTAAAGTGTGTTTGCTGTTTCTCAGGCTATGTATGTGTACATGAAAGCAGCATATCTGAGCATGCTTCCAGAGCAACAGGCCAGACCTTTTGAGGAGGATGAGGTACTGCTCTTCAGGTAAGCAGTTTTCCTAATACACACACACACAGTTGACAGTTGTTGTCTATGTATATATATGTGTATATATGATATATATGTGTGTGTGTGTGTGTGTATATGTATATATATATATATATATATATATATATATATATATATATATATATATATATATATATATATATATATATATATATATATATATATATATATATATATATATATGCATAAAGCCTAAAAATATGAAATTATTGTTTTGATTGATTATTTTTTATTGTAAGACAAGTGCCCACCTTCAAGCAGAAGATTGCAGGGAAGTCTCCACCCACAGAGAAATTTGCAATCCGTAAAGCTAGACGCTACAAGGCTCCCAGCCCTGTCAGACTGCCAGTGCCGGCACTGGTAAGACTTAGTTTGTTCATTACTGTATGTTATGTTGGTTTTTTCCAATAAAAATGTTGAATGCTCTTTGCTCTTCACTTTGGTGTCCTACAGGAGATGATGTACATGTGGAATGGCTTCAGTATGATCCGGATGAGACCTGAGCTGATCAATGGCATGTTGGAAACTGTGCAGGAGGCAGAGCGTACTCTACAGGACAATCCTGGTAATTGCACAAATCAATCTTCAGTGGTATTGTAAAGCATAAATGTGGTGTTACAAAAGTTACCACCTTTGTCACCCCTCTGCAGAGAATGAGTTTCTGGTGGATGACCTGTGTTTGGTTCTGCTGCTCAAGGGAGTGTGTTTGAGGAACCAGGGCTGTCTGCAGTCTGCTCTGGATTGTTTCAAACAGCTGTGTGACAGGTGAGCACTTTCTACCTGCTAACATTGTGATTTGGTTCCAAGTTGTAACATTCATCATTTTTATTTAGTAAAACATATATATATATATACACCACAGATTACATCCATATTTTATCAGTTCAAGTAAAAGACTGAATGATTACACTGAGCCTGTCCCTGTGTATTTGCAGTGAGAGGAGGATCCGCTTTGACCACTACCTGGTGCCCAATGCTCTGGTGGAGATGGGTCTAATTTACATTGACAAAGGTGAAAGGGACAACGCTATCAAAGTACTGCGCAAGGCCAAGTATGTTTTTATTTTCTAATGACCACCTCTGTACTACATATTTTACAGCAGTTGCACCTTAGTTTTGTTATTCTGAACTTACATGATATTAGATAAAGGATAAGACAGATAAGGATAGATAAACTTTATAGGAAAATGCAGTAAAATGCTCCTCTAATAATACCCAGCTAATCTGCTATTATTCAATACACAGCCAGCCCAAAAAGGATCCTAAGGCTAATGGACTCTTAATTACAAAACAGGGAACTTATCGTAGGAATCATAGAGTTGACTATTATTATATTATACATACAATACAACAATGGTAAAGATTCTTCTTATGTGTTTCAGAAATAACTACAAAGATTACTCCATGGAGTCCCGGACACAGTTCAGGATACATGCTGCTCTAGCCAAAGTTAAGGCAGAAATAGTGGAAGATGAGGACACACAGCTATGAGATGCTTCTCTACTGTGAACTCAGTTTCAACTTATCAACTTTTGAGTTTTTAGCCCCAAGCTGGCAGAGGGCAGAAGACTTTGAATTAATGATATTCAAAAGCCTTAGAAGAACACATGAAGTCAAGAGTGACATTTTAACAAAGGGACTTTCACCACTTGGATATACTTCAAGGTGCACCATGCAACTTTCTGGTTGGGTTTCATTACCTGCTTGTGTCTGTCAATGTGTCATTATTCTGCCTGGAATGTTTAATGACATTAAAGAGATCTACCTTAGATTTATTCAATTACAGGTGATTTTTAAAAAAATGCCTAAAAAAGACAGGAATTCTGACTATGATAACGGTTACCTCTCCACAGATCCGACCTGTAACTTGATCTGGTTTCGTCTCCAGACAAAGCAAAAACATCTCCATGTAGAAAAGCATTTGATGGAACCCCAACAAATAAAGTTACACAATGCACCTTTATAAATGCACCCTGATCAAATTCACACTAACACTTTCAAGTACCTCCTTATAAGCCCAAGTGAAAATTGTCCTAAATCCAAATTATTAGTACAAAGTCTGACTAGAATTGGCGTCTGTTTACATCATTGTAATGGTTATTTTATTGATTGTAATAGGCACAATAATCATTTAAAGCTTCATCTAACAAATTTAGAGCTTTTATGGTAGGTTCAATTAATTATTGTATTTTTAATATTTCATGTTTTGTCTTGAAATAAACTTACTGAAATATCTACTTTTGTTAAATAAAAATAAAAAGGCAAACTTGAAATTGCACGACAAATGTTTATCTACACCAAATAAAGCAAGAGGATCTAAAATATCAATTCATTCAATCATTGCAATAATTTCCAACACATTTGGTTCATTTATTGATAATTTGTAAGCACTGGCAGTATACATAAACATGGAAAACAAAAGTGAAGGTTTAAGAAGGTTCAAATCAATGTCCTTTTATGTACAAATATATTCACAGTGTCCACCATGACAGTCCAAAGCATTACCACACACATTCGGACTATGAGGAGGCAGCAGGAGGTGTGACAAGCCCAGCTGCCTGCTCCTCTCTCTGTCTACGCTTCAGCAGTTTCTTTTTCTTCTTCTCCTCCTTCTCAATCTCGGCTACCATTTCTAAGAATTTAGGGCTGCGGGGGTCCACATTGTAACCAAAGCGCTCTCTGGCCTCAGCCAAGAGCTTTGCGCGCCGGGCCTTCTCCTCTTTGAGTTTAACTTTAGCCTCCCGCTTCTCTCGTCTCCAGTCTGCAACCATCTTGGGCATTTTGGCCATGTTTGCTGCAATAAGTTTTTCCCTGCAGGCAGAAATAAAACAGTGTACAAAATGCATTAAAAGTAGAATAAATTTTTATTAATTTACACTGTTCTGCATATTTGGGGGGGGGGAAATCAACTTTCAACTTTGTTATTAGCATCGGTAATCATTAAAAAATTGCTGATACGATACGTCCCTCAATACATAGGCCACAGTACGATACATATCTCGATACAGTGCACTTTCGGTTTGATACAATATATTTCAAACTGATTCGATACAGGTCAATAAAAAATAACCCTAATCCTAACCCTAACCCTAATAAAAAATAAAGACTAAATCAAGTCTGTGATACTAAAAGTCTTTGTTAAACCACTTCTTGTGCAAAGTTAATGTGAAACACACATTTTAATTCTCAAAGCAGTGAAAATGTCAAATGTGTCGCATAAACAAGTTTCCTTCCTCTAAACAAGCAACAAAATAGTAGCGCTGTAACAAAATGTCGTAAAATAAACCAAAAAATACTCTTGGCAATACATCGATACAGCAGTCCCCGATATCGATACTGTATCATCACATTAAACGATACGATATATTGATATTTCAATATTTTCGCACCGCCATATTTGTTATGTCATTGTAGGTATTATGCATTTAGTTTTAGGTAAGTTTATATCTTGATGTATTATTCTGAAACATTTCTATAATTCTAGATCAATTCTCAAGCAAGTATTTCAGTTTTTTATTCGACTTTGAGTAAAAACAGACCAAATATATCTTCTATAACTGAAGAATAAAGATGCCTGGGAGTCAGGGAGCACAACTCAACAGTGAAAAGTCCTCAAAATGTCCCTTATAACACAAAAGGATGAGAGAGTCCAACACATGAGAATAGTTTGACCTCAGTACTCACTTGGCCAGGCGCTTTTCCGTCTCTTCCTTTTCTCTAGCGACTATGTTCTGTCGCATCACTTCTAGAGGAGGGTGCCACTCGTTTTCCTCGGCTATAATCTTGTCCAGCTCTTCGTGAGTGGGCCACAGTGAAGCCGGGTCGATCCCTGAAGCTGAACCATAGCGGCCGTAAAGCTTCCTGTCGTAGCGCGCGGTTTTCTGCCACTCTGGGGTTTTCTCACTGTCTTTGTCCGGTATGTACGGCTCCCGCAGGTTCAGTCTTAAAGGTTTGGGGTTGTACGAGGCTGTTTGGATGAGAGATGACACGGGTTTAGGCGCTGAAATCCAGTTTAAAGCCCTGCACATGACGGCTGCCCTCCCGAACCACACGGAGGACGCCATGTTTGTCCTGTCAATGAAGGACCCGCGCTGAGGTGACCGCGGCGCTGCCTGTACAAAACAAACTCACAAACTCAGAGCAGAAAAGGGACCCACGGTCATTTTGTGGTGACACGGCGTCTTCTTCTTCTTCTTCTTTTTTTCTTTTTTTATTTTTTTATTCATGATGTTCAGATACAGGGACATCAAAGAACAACATACGGGGGTGAAATGCAGTCAATTATACAAGGGAGTAAAAAAACAAACAAACAAATAAACAAACAAACAAAAAACAAAACAAAACAAAACCACAAAACCACGTATATTTAACCAAATAAGAGGAACTATAACATAAGACGTAGGGGACAGTGATATGGTTTTAAGTATTTCCAATAGATATTGTACATTTTAATAGCTTTTTAGTTTTATTATTTGGAAATATTGTTGTATTTTGTTATTATAATGGTGCCCATTTGGTTTATTTTGAGTCAGTTTTGTTTTGTGTTTATAATATTTGGCCAGCAAGGCTAGGGTGATTAAATGTCCCTATTTACCCGGGACAGTCCCAGTTTTGAGTCCTGTTCTGTGTCCCCTGTCCCATCAGATTTATCCAAAACGACTGATTTGTCCCAGTTTTATACAAGAAATGCCCCTTGAGTCCCTTTTTTTGACCAATTTGATCCCTGCAACAATAAAAAGAGGCATAAATTGACATATTTTCGGTAAAACATAGAAAAAGTTGCTTAAAAACAACCAAAACACAAAGAAAATGACTCACATGTTTGTTGTGAATGGTCTCTGCATAACAATTTTCCTTAATTAAGTGCTTGTTTCAGTTTTATTCTCACCAACCACCAAAAAACCGGGGCTGTCCCAGTTTTTTATTTTGAAATTCTGGTCACCCTTGACACGGCATTTCTTAGATCAGTTTGATTCAGTTTTAACTTCAGTGGATGTGTGTAATATTTGTTGGCTTACATAAACATCTGATTATAATACGATTTGGGAAAGGTTTAAATTCTGGCACATAAGCAATAGCTTTTATTAAAATTGCAATGTCGTATAAGCACGTCCAAGCACCACAGATTATTGTAGCCTAAATTAGGGTGACAAGAGTTTCAAAATAAAAAACTTCAACATGCCTGTTTTATTGGTGGTTGGTAATAATAAAATTGTGAAATGAGAGCATAATTAAGGAAAATTGTTCTGCATAAAACATTCATGACTAACATGTGAGTCAGTATAGTCACATTTTCTTTGTTTTGGTCATTTTTAAGCAGATTGTTTTGTATTTTACCTAAACAAATTACAATGTATGCCTATCTTCACTGCTGGCAGGTATCAGATTGGTCAAAAACAGAGACACCAGGGACATTTCTTGTATAAAACTGGGACAAATCACTGGTTTTGGATAAATCCGCTGGGAATGTCCCGGGTAAATAAGGATGTCTGGTCACCCTACCCTAAATCTTATTTTATGTCAGATGGAAAATACAAGTTAAAGGAATAGGAGCATATAACAGGTAAGACAATTCACACGTAGGCGATTTCGTTGGGGAACATAGGGTCATTATTGTGTCACATCCCATTAGTTTCTTCTAAACGCTGTCACTGACTTTACTGTCTATTGATCAGTTTCCAATGTCCACAGTAACTTGGCTGTATTGGCGAGCAGGTGTGTAGCCACAGCGCCAGAGCAAAGAGGGGAACTAACAATCTTTTAACACCGTCTTTGAACATTTAAGGACCACTGAGCTTGGGAATCAACCTTGGAGAGAAAAGAGCTTTGTTTTAACCTCTTTAGCCCCGCCCTTTTTCTTTTTTAAGGCCTCCACCCTCCCACAACTTCTAGATTTAATTTCCTTTCAACATGCACATAGAACAAATGGGCCCTGCTCTGGAGTGCCGCACTTCCAGAGACAGATGTCATTGCTTTTGTGTGCTGCATTAAAGATTTAGGGTTCCCATGGCAGGGGTGGCACGGGCTGGAGGCGAGGGTGGTACAGGGGTGGTGGTGGGGGGGTTATGGTGGAGGCTTAGTTTGGCTTAGGAGAGATCTGGTGCCAGGCCAAGGCATCAGGGACCACATGACTGTCAGACTTGTTAGCGGTGCAGATAAGGGAGCAGGCAGTATGACAGGTCTATTTGTGAGGCAGGGAGGCAGCAATGAGATAATGTGGCCTGTGGAGTGCACTTTTTACACATACGACCACCTCTAAACATTCAGGTGTGTGTTGGACATTGCAAAATTTGTGAAGGTGTACACATAGCCATTGTAAATTAGCGGTTCACAGCTTTTGTTTATCATGTATTTTTTTGTAACCGTATGTGATGGAGTGGAGTTTTTTTTTTCTCTCTCTCTCTCTCTCTAATGGAAAATGAATTTAAACACCTTTGTGAAACCTTACTAAACACCCAAATAAACTATATTTCATTGTTATGAGGTAGATACATTGTCTTCTGGTTCATCACCGAAACAAAAGCAGATTCCGGCCCTGTTTGCACTCTTTTTCTTCTTGTTTCTTCATTTGTTTGCTGTTTGCTGAGCTCCCGTAGGTCTCATGATGACTGCCCCTGCCTGGTATTTCAGCATAGAAGCGGACTTGGTTTGGTGTCTTCAGGCTCAGTTGTGGGAGATTTTGGTGGTTCCTCTTTGATCATATTGGGGCAGGTGTTGTGGGACTCAACCTGGGATTGTAACCTCAAAGTTTGTTTACTACCCTGCTGCAATTTCTCTTTTCAGGACTCCGTGTCTCTGCAATGACATTTGTGCAACCTTCATTTTTGATAGAGCTGTCAACACCCTGTTCATTCTCAGTAAGGCAGACGGAAGGAATCTCAGGCACTTTCTTTAGTGTTGGAATCTGGGTTGCGTGAGTTGGTAGGCTCCGTTTTTTTGATGGGTCAGAAATATACACCTCAATGACCTCAGGCTTTGGTACGATGGCCTGAACATCTCAGACTGACAAGTTTGTTTACTTTCAGAAGCTGGTTTCTCTTCCCTGTTTTCAATTGGAGTATTGATGGTTTTATTCTTTCGGTGGGCTCTAAGGATACACCTCAATTGACTGAGGGGGGTTTCACTTCATCATTTATAACTTCCTCAGCTGCCTGCCTGGGTGAATTGGCCTCCAGTGTTTTTTTTTTTGTTTGTTTTGTTTTGTTTTGTTTTTTTCAGTTCTCCTAATCCAGGCAGGGTAGAGGGGCCAGTGCAGACTTAGGCTTTTCTTTCTCCAGTGAAGATTGTGTTGCTTCAGTCTGTGCCTTGTTGAGTTGAGCTTCTTCCCTATCTGATTGGGGTCAATTGTAATTCCTTCTATAATTTTTTTCTCTAGTTTTTAGGAACTTGGGATGTCTCTGTGTTGATTTTCTTCTGAGAGCTTGGTTTGTCATCATCGGTTCCTCTCTCTGTTGCCTGTCCAGAATTAAAAGGTCTTGGCATATCTTCGGTCAGCATTGGGGTTGTTGGCAGCCACCTCCCCTCTCCATTTATTTCGTGAATGCCACAGTCTCCTCTCAGTGTTCCTGGTTCTGGTTTTCAGGATTGGGTCTAGACCTGCCCTGTTTCTTAGGTAAAGAACCATATACATTCCTGGACCTGTGGTTAGATGAAGGTCCCCTGGGAGCTGATGATGCCTGGGCTGGTTCTGCGTTCTCCAGCCTTTTCTTATTTTGTCTCCTTTTTTGAGTTAATTTCCCCATCCCTCATCTTTGGCTCCATTGTCCACATTTAGACCCATGGCAACAGCCTGTGGAGAATGGGCCACGCTCTCCTGCTCTCTCTCCTCGACTGTGACAGGACAAATATGGGTTTCAGGTTGAGAAACCTGCACAGAATCTAGACTTATTTGATGGCCTTCCTCTATTGATTCAGGACAATGGCCTAAAGCAGCCTCAACGAGCTGTATGGATGTAGGCCTATGGATCTCATTGATCACCATAACCCTAGATCTTCTCTTGCTCTTTCTTCTTCCCATTGTCTTAAGTTTAATCTTAATAATAAGTCGGAAGTGTTTGTAGTGTTTTGGGTTTTTTGTTTTGTTTTGTTTTTTAATAATTCAGTAAGTAGTGTTAACCTTTCACAGAAAGATGGCTTCCTGCCATTTTTGTGAGTGCACAAACTCCATGACAAACTCAAGAGAATCCATCTTGGCCTGTGGGCGCTGGTGCAATGGTCCTGACAGGTGGTGGGCACCAATCACACTGAGGTTCGTGCGGAACTCAAAGGCCAAGCGCCCAAACGAACCAAAACAAACATGGCGACGCCGACAGACGTGCTTCAGTCTATTTTAGCGTCAATACGGACTATTTTGTTTATGAAAAACGTGCAGAAGGTAAGCGCTCTGTGCATTTGTGGACAAGGAAGATGTCTTTGCTTTTCTCTCAACTGGATGCATTTATAATATGAATAATATGAACAAATCTATAATATGATTTTATTTTATTCTAGTTCTAAGAATGGATGTTACAAAAGACAAATGACTTTTCGGCTGTTGTGATGCTTTGATCAGTCAGATTCACATCGTCATGACCCTCCGTGTTTAAAACTTTCAGGGAAAGTCGCTCCAGATCAATAATGTGGGGCTCTCAAGTCAGAGTGCTACAGTAGAAGTTTTATATGGTGAATAAGAAAAAAGAAACAAAACCATCACAATGATTTTTCCTGAGATCAAGATTTTTCACTGTAGTAATTTTCCTGAAAATAAACAGTCTTCCAGTCACCAGTCTTAATCCTCGCTGTGCTTTTATGTTCAATCATTTTTGGTTCAAAACTGAAACACACTTTAACCACTTGAGGGAGACAGAAACCAGTTGCAACTCACCCACAACAGGGTTTTTGCTCATTTCATTTTAAGTGCTTCCATTAGTTTCTGCAGGCGCTCTTTCTCTGCCATCTTTAACCCTGTGTCAGATTCACTGTGCATTAAGATACTTGGAATTTTCTAGTTTAGCAACTAAATAAAATGGTTATCAGAATAATAATGGTCAAAACCATGTCAGAACATACTGACCACTGACATTGACATAATCTTGACATTAGTCCCAGGGGCAGCTCCAGAATCTTTTCCTAGTCTTTGCTAAGGGGGTGCTAAGATCCCTGGTTGGCTCTTTATTGAAACTAGATTAAATGTAGTAAAAATCATTGTTAGATGAACTTGAATGTACTATGAAAAAGGTCTGAGTCTGGGATTCAACATAACTTGTTTGATTTATAACTTCTCTATCACTTCATATTTAGTACTTTCCTTTGTCACCTTGATTACATAAAGTTCACACTTTTCTTGTTTCTAGGGGGCGTATCTTCCTCTCTGAAGACCCTTGGATCATCAGCGATACAAAGAAGAAAATGTAAATCATGTAAGTATATTGTTGTTGCCATATTGACACATTTGTCTTTTTCTGTGTGAATTGTCTGACCGATAAAAGGAATGAACTATTTCCATCTGTCTAACTAGTTTGTAGCTCGTTGGCACATCACATACATGAACTTTGAGGCGCGTGCACAGCTGTAGAAGATCTTTTTTCATATGTTGAAGTGAAGTAGGTTTGGACCATCACCAAAGTCAATTCTCTCTCAGCATTTGTATAATTTTTGCATTTTTATTGTTTGATAACATATTTTATTATTACATGCAGAAGGCATACAGCTGTCTGCTTGTCTCACAAAGGGCTGCTTACTCTACTCCAATGTTTTACTGATTTACTAGACGTCATACCCCACAGTTAAAGGTGCACTATGCAACTTCTTGGTTGAGGGTCCGTCACCTGCTTGTTTCTATGGATATGTCATTGCTCTGCCTGGAATGTTTCACAGTATGACATTAAACAGCAGTAGCTTTACATTTATTAAATTGCAGGTGGTTTTATAACTCAAAAATCCCTCGAAAAACAGGCGTTCTGACTGCGTGGGTTTGCCTCTACGCAGATCTGACCTGTAACTGTCTGGTTTGGTCTCTGTTTAATACCAACCTGTGAAATATTTCAGACAAAGCAACATTTACATGGAGAAAAGCATCTGACAGAGCCTCCAGCAGAAAGGCTGCACAGTGCTTCTTTAATGTGAAGCTTTTGGAGGGACTCATGTTCACGAAATAAAATAACCCAAACAACAGTCTTGCTAAGGACATTGATAAACTCCATCTGATATAATTAACATAATTTCAGGCAAGAATCAACTACGCACAAATAAAGTTAAAACACCGTGTCCATTTGATCACTAAGAATTCTGAGCTCATATGGCGTCATTACCATCTCATTGTCCACGCCCGCCGTCACAAAGCAGAAATCATAATAAATCCACTGCAAATGAAGCTTTTGTTGGCTTCAGACAATGACGGCTTTGCTCTGAAATTTGGCAACAAGAAACCAGATTTGTCAGCATTTTCCCCCAGAACAAGGGATAAGGACCCAATCCAAAAATATATAAAAAGCACACCCAAAATATCTCCATTTCCTGGTAATGACAGTAGACCACAGCGGTTAGAAAAAATAAGGCATATTAAAAGTGTGTTTGGTAAGACGATTCCCCACAGTGTCGGTGATGAATTGCAGCCCTCCTCAAGAACATAAGAATTAATAATCGCGAGGTAGAAGGTGTTGTCCTTGCCAACGCGGATATTACAAAGTGCCTTCAGACAACTTAAGCTTGCTCTAAAGTCTCTGCGTTTTTATAGTGGCTGATTTTGCCATTTGGGCTTGTTTGAGAAATGAACAACAACAAAACCCCCCACTCCTCACTAATGTTAAACTTGGACCCGTGCCCGATTCTGAACTGCTATGGTAAGCATTCCTGCCTGCTGTGAAGGGAGGGGGTACTAAAAAGAAGACCCAGGGACGGTAAGCCTTCAGTGGGGAGCCGTGGAGTGTTTTACGGTAATGAGTATACCACATGGAGATTGGGTTAGCGGTGTGCGACAGACAGGGGGAGCCTTCTCCAGTGGAAAAAACAGCAAAGGCCAAAGTGTCTTCCGGAGCGATTCATCCCCAGGTCACATGGGACATTTGATTTGTACTTACTTTGCTACAGGCTGTGACTCCCAACGTGTTCACTGACACATGATGGTAGTAACTTTTGAATTATCTTGTGTCTTTCTCCATTTTCCTATCTCTTGTTAATTTATTATTACCTATATTTCCTGAACGAGTTTGCCGTTCACTGTACATTATGTTATGGTGCCAAAGTTGAAGCTTGGAGTTTAGATCCAATTTCATTTTAGACCTTTAAAGCAATTATAGTGTAAAATAGCAGTTGTTTTCAGTATGCTATTAATTCATTGTTTTTGATTATGAATTCATGCTACCAAGAAAGGGCAAGCAAATATCGGTTGGTCAAATCAACAAAAATGTGCCTCTAAAACAACCACAAAAATCCCTTTAAACCCGTTTGTGAAATATTACACTGGAAGTTTTATTTTTATTCAGCTCTTTTGCAACCTTTTAAAGATGTTTTTATTATAGATGGCACTAGCTCTCAACATTTCAATTTTTCATTACTTTTTAAATTCAGATTCAGGGTGGTCGATTTTGTTTTCCCAGGCATCTGTCATCAGTTGAAATTGTGATCTGCGCTGCTCATCAAGATGAAATTAAGGAAGAGGAATTGCTGGGCCTTTCTGATTTTTTTCCCACTACAGGGATCTTAAAGTTATTATACATTTCTTAAAAAATAATAATAATATTTTATCCCAAAAAAAAGCATATTATTGCTGATGTCAGTAATATAATTGTCACTCACATAAATACATAAATATACATTATTCTCCAGTAGTCTTATATTTAAGCCACATCATGTCATTATGTCTGTCACAAACACATTTCAAAGTAAAAATGTTTTTAAGTACTTTATTGTATCGGTAGTATAAGAATAATGCAAGATAATTCCAGTAAGCCATTTTTTTTTAAAGAGATATCATTATTAGGTGTCATAAAAAGGCAGGAGCTGAAACATAATGTACTATTAAGCCAAAGATGTTATTTTTCTTATGTACTTTAACTTCTTGGGTACTTTTTACGCCTACAGGAAGTAACAACAGCTGATTTACAACACGTCACCACCAACACCACTGACAGTTCTGAAGATGGTTTGCAGCTAGCAGCCGAAAGATGTCAACAAGGTAAATACATTTTACTGTATTGTCTTCAAAAGAACCCAAGAAGCCATAGAAGTCTTATTCAACTCAACTTTTGCAGCACAAATGTAATTGTAGTGCACCAAAAATACCCCAAATCTTCCCACTTTTACAAAGAAAATGTACACCCGATAAATATTAAGCCCCAGAATATATATATAATATAATATATACAACGATATAGTAATGATCATGACAGACCTGCATGTCATGTAGATCTTTAGGAAGAAACAAGGCAAATTGGCAAGAGCATACTGTAAGATAAATCCATGCATAGACTACGCACAATCCCTTCCCTCCTCACTGCACTAAATACACATGACACAAAATGGCTCTAACCCTAAAACAATCATCCCTCCATCTCCTGTAAACACTGCTCCATACACTCCCATGCACACAGCAGGTTTACATAAGTATTTGGCATTTGTTCCAGGCTCATAATGCACTGCGCTCCCATAGCGGTAAACAAACGTGCCACTGTCTGCCCCTGATACATTAAGATTTTCTCTACAAATCACCACATCGCCATGGGAACGGAACAGCTTGCCTCTTCGAAAAATACCTATACTGTGAATGCCCCTTTCTGACAGATTTGTAAACAACGTCGGCGGAAGAGTATCCCCAAAATGTGCGTCTGTGATTGGGCTCTGGGCGGCCCGGGGTGCTAACGTGTTGATGAATGGGCGCGTCAGGAGTGATGGAGGCGCCCTATTCACAAGTGACTGCTAATTTAAGTGGAGATTCATCAAACACGGCTCTCCTCTCATACGCACCTTCACAGAGCAGAGCCGGGGTCCACTCAAGATGAATGGAGGTAATTACGGGCGCTACCTGTTCCTCTCGCTCCTGCTGCGTCAGCCTGGATACCTGTTCACGGGAGGACTGAGGGCTACTTGTGGTTTTTGTGCGTTATTATACAGGAATGAAATAGACCTGTGCGATTCACAAGAAATCCATTGTTGAAATTAGGGCTGGCCGATTTGGCAATAAAAATCGAGAAAAAATCTGATCCCTGTGACGACATGATTCAGTGTTTGACTGTTTAATGTAACTTGAAAGCTCAAGCTCGTGCACTTTTCCCACTCTCTCCTTTTATTGGTCAGCCAGAGGGAGAGACTTTTGGATTTAACCACAGTTAAGTGTGAACTTTCAGACAATCATGAATGATCAGGCTCCAAGACAATTGTGATATGGTGTTTTGGCACATCACCCTCCCCTAGTCAAAGTCATAAACAGAACATACTGTTTAGTTGAATTATAATTTTAAAACAGCTGCCACAAGTAGACTTGCTGTGGTAACATTTTTTCTTTCACATTCTCAGATGGAAACTACTTCCATTTTGATTTCAAAAAGTAGTCATTGGCGATAATGTTTTTAAAATATCTGTATTAGTCATAAATTGCCCCAGATTAAAGTGTGTGAATAAATTGTGTTATTTTTCAATACTGTATATGTCATTATTTACAATATATTTGTTGTGTCACATTACCTTCCCTTGTTGTTGTTGTCATCTTTTGTTGCAATTAGTTGAAATGAACTAATACTGTGTATTCTTACTCCACTGATGCCTATTGAGCTCATCAGTCCCGCCCAGTTCGTAATCCACTCCTCTTCCAGAAGTACATTTTCCATTAATTTTTCTCATAAGTGAAAAATTCAAATATCAAGAGTTCAAAGACATTGCAGAGGCTATCCATCTATGTAGTGTCTAATATCCATAATAATATCTATAAAACATTTTTAGCTAGATTTAGTGAAATGCTTTAATAACTTTGCTTTTTATAAAGTTTGAAATAAAATGATAGGTATTGTGCTTATTAGTCACCGCCTAGCTGATTATGCCTGAGCAAGCTTTCACATTTTAGATTTGTTTTATGTCTATGGGAAAAAGGAGTAAGAAATAAAATGGCAGTCATTGTATTTTATTTACTGATTTCTGAACCTTTATGATTAAAGGTTGATGTGAGTGATCAGAGAGACCATAATCAGAAAGAAAATATATGAATTTGCTATAATTTTAATAGTTTTATAGTACCAATAATACTCTTTTTTTTTTTTTTTCTTGATAATGAGCCACCCTTTACCCTGTTGGTGTATTTAGTGCGGCAGTGGCACCACTCATCTACCATGTCCCTTTCCGATTGCCCCAGGACAACTGTGACTATTCGCACTGTGGGGGGCCTGTAAAAATATTAAATAAAGCACTAGTACAAATGAACGTCTGCAGTGACCCCGTGGAGAATAGGACTTGAATGTTTGCTAATGATCCAATCAGACAGCCTCTCCTCTTCCTGCCGTAGGGTTCACAGTGGCGGGGCTAACACAGGCTCACCGGGCGAGCGGGTGGGCACGGCTGTTTGTTTGTCCAGTTGGCGTGGTTGGTGGTAAATGTCATTGGTTTGTGTGAGACAGAAGCGCTGCCAGTGCCTCTGAGTACGGCCGCCCTCTGCCAAATCACCAGAGTAGTGTGGAGTAGTGACCACTGATGGAGCAGTTAGGACTAATGTGACTCAAACATCCCATTCAATGAAGGACACAGGCTTTCACAAGTAATATGTGCGGTTATTTCAATAAAGTGAACAAAAAGTAAGTTCAGAATAACTTGATGTGATTTGTTTACTCATTCGGTATCAACCATAGACAAAAATCTCTACTAAACTGTCAGCTCTGAGGTTTGGAACAGTGGCTCCATTCTGAGCTCTTGACAAGATAGTTGTTCCAGTGGTTTTCTGTACTTTCCCAGAGCCATACAGTCAAACAGCAGAATAACACAATAAGTTAAAAAATATGGTTAGGAAGCACTGACCAATTATAAAAACTAGAGATGGAACCAGATCTGATCTCGTGAGATAAAATTCCCAAGATTGTGTGCACATGAGGAAAATGATCTCATGAAATATGTTTACATTTGGCTTGGACAAAAAAAGATAAAGCTGGTGAGTTACACCTCTTGAGTACAGCTTTGACAATACAAATAAATCAAAAACCGTGAGGCCATTGTGAACTCAACTGAACCTCACAGTTTATTTATAATAAATAATGTCAAAATCTCGGCTCGTTCATGAGGACCTCATCTTGTGTTTCATCTTGTGTAAATTGTGTCTTGTCTCACCCCTAACAAAAATATAAATTAACAGAATGACTGTTTTCTCAATTTTTCTTTATAGCAGCAAGTATTTTAATTAAAGAAAATATTCAAACCAAAATATTCAAATTCAATATTTCAAAGAAAGGTAAATAAGCAACAGTGTTCTGTAGTTATCAAGAAAGGTTAAGAAAAAAGAACACTTTAAAACAACACTTAAAGAACACATAAAATATCATAAAACACTGAATGCTTAAACTGTGTGCCAAAGTTCAGAGTGTGTTTTAAATTCCCCAGACAATAATAGGCTAAAGATGTGTGTGGTGAGATTTGTCTTGCTTTCCAACATGGCCGCCACAGTCTTCATAGCGCTCCCTGACTGGCCAAATCCATTTGTAAATGTCACATGCTCCTAATCAATCCTGACACATGGGCTTCGTCTACAAAGGCACGACACTTTTCCACTTCTCGCTGTCTCTTTCCAAACATGAAGTCATCTCTATGGGAACGCTCCCAAAGCCTTCCAAGTTGTACTCCAGGTCCAGTCCTGACCTCCCCATGTTCAAAAGGAGTGTTGTGAGGGGCCAAAATTAAATATGCAGCCAGTTTACTTTTACTTTTACAAGACCACATTTGTGATGTTTAGGTCCAAAATAATACATAATATATGGACATTTATGGATACAGAAGTCTGTAACCTCCACATGGAGATTCGGATTTTGTAAGTCAGATCCAATAATTTTGTCTCTTAAAACCTTCATAAATACACAGGTGAGAGAGTCAACTTCTAACTGGAAGAATGACTGTTCAAATTCAGCTCTATTGATGTGGTGGTTGTGTTTTTGGGCAAGACAAGATGAGTGACAGTGAGTTATAAGTTCTGATCAGGAAGATGTTTGCATAGACAGTCCAGGCAGCTGTTGCGGTTGACTCCTTTTTTTTATTAAAGCATTTTCAGATTGTGGTGGTAGGCGTCTATACAATATATATTAACATTATATTTACAATACAATATCAATTTTAACCCTTCTAGTTCTATGATAAAGACAAGACAGATAATACTAAAACTATTCAGGAAATTTTTGATAGTTTCCTATTTATGCATTTATTTTTTCACTATCAATACCATTATTATTTTTAAATGAGGTTATTTGATCATTAATGGTGTTCTGGTTTCTCCCCCAGTCACATTACAATTGAAAGTGTATTAAAAAAAAAAAGTCAGATGGCATAATGCTGAGTCACAGAACATGGTACTGACTATGTACACTATCTTTACATAGTGACATGCTCACAGCTGTTCTGTGGTTGTGGAGGTGCTCTCCTCTGTACTGGGGGTTTGGTGGGGTTTGGTGGGGTTTGATGGGGTGTGGAGGGGGTGTGGTGGGGTGCAGACATGGCTCCCGCCGTTCCCTTTGCCGCGCCGCACCATCTGTCATCTGTTCCAACATCTGCAGACCCAAGGTGCCCCTGTCACCCAGCGTTACAGCACTGTGTTTGGCTCTCCCATTAAAGACGCCTGGAGTGATTCACAGAACAAAATCTATTAGAGTGAATCAGTTGGGCTCCCACATTAAGACTTGGACCGGTCTTTGCATAGCGCCACCCGCCTGTCAATGCGTGTCTCTACATGTCTGACTGTGTGACATCTCATCTCCTCTGACTGGCAGTTTGGCCACAGATATGGGCTATATGAGCTCCGGCTCCTCTGGATTTCTTCTGTCTCCGATTGTGCCTCAAAACAGATGGCTTTTCCCTTCCATATTTTAATGGAGCTCCTCTCTGTGCTCTTGAGCTAAATAATGAGCTAAATAATCAGTCTGATTCTGTACAATATGTTCTGTGAATGTTTTCAAAAGTGAATGTTCAGATCAGTACAATTGTTTAGAAGTACTTTAT